ATGTAAACATTTTAGATTAAAAATTCGTGAGAAAATAATTCCAATAATATTTATAAATATCCATTAATTTTTATATAATCAACTTATAAAAACTGTAAATTTTTATTTGCAATTATATTATCCCATTTCTCATACAGTATAAATAGCTACATATATAAAATAAGAAACAATCGAAATAATAAAGACTTGTCAAGATAACAATAAAAAATTCCAATGTGTGACGCAACCGATCGGCTTCTTCTCTCAAGAATAAGCACGTTCATTACCCTTACTCATTGCTTATTTTAATAGACATGAATATAGCTTATGACGTAACCACTTAGGTATACGTTCATAGTATATGTATACCTATATATATGATTAATGACATAGGACTTTCTAGGAAAAGAAGGAAAGGAAGGTTCTTTGTTCTAAGACACAAAATGTAAACCGGAACATTGTTTGCCCGAGAATCCATGATTTTCGATCTAATATATACACACAGAGTGAGATCTGCAAGTACTTGCTAAACACGGCAGACCTTGAACGCAAAACGTTGTCTGCTGGGCGAAACTTCAGATCCCCATTCGTAACACGGCGTGGAATAATGGAAGTCCCAAATATAGCGCGTGGTTACGGCGACCACGGGCGCAATATCGGCTTGATTACGTTAGAAATCAGAAACTGGAACTAAACTAAGCTCGATCTTCGAGAGGCGACGACACGACACGACACGGATTATCAACGACGCGAATTAATTCGGCGACCCCCAAGTTCGTGCGACCAAGTTCCACTCGCGTCTGCGAAACGATGAGTCGTCCTCGCGCCCGCAATTACGGGGAGAAATATATAATTCCCGTCACGTGAAAAAGGCGGCGTCTCTCTTTCTCTCCCTCGACTTTTGAATTACATTATTCGAGCCAGACCAAGGAGGGCATCAAGTCTCATTCGCGCGCGGTATATAACCTTTCGAGATGAAGATGGCAGCGCAACGTGCTCCGCTTGAAGATATCTCTCGCGAAGTAAGTTCGCCGGAGGTTAAGGGGTGAAGGGAAGACGACAATGAGTGGATGTGGTTCACCGAGGAATTGAAAAGTCCACGAAAGAAAAGCAACCTTTTGTCCTTGAGATACGTTACTCGCGGGACAATGAAATGACTCGGTCATCCGTCCTAACTTCATCTTCATATTCCGGACACAATGCAACGTCCCAAAGCGGCTTTTTACTCGAACCAGCAATTTTTCGACCTCCTTCCCTCTCGCTCTTTCTTTCTTTCTTTCTCTCACTTTCTTTACCCCTCTCCGTTTATCTCTCAAAAGTAAAAATTTCGAGCCAGGACTTATCGCGCCAAGTGTCTTTTCTCTTCAATTTTTCGCGAGATTTTCATTAACAAGAAAGCTCGACGAAGAGAATCGCGTTTCGCATTCGAGAGAGGCATAGGAAAAAGAGATCGATGAATAATTAAAGTCGATAAGAGAGGAGTCGCGCGACGACGTCTCGCTTCTATCTCCGAAAGAAATATCGCGCGTTACAGCTATGATATATACATATATACGTATTACTTCGTATGTGTCCTATATTCGTCGACGATCCTGAAACCATGTCTCGAACGAGAGTGGGAAGCATATTCGCGCGCGCGCACTCTTATCATCGCAAAGCCGTTTGTATATAAAAGCTGCTTACACACGCGAAGGCTCCCACATGCGAGCGAGGTACGTACATACATAGTTCTTTATAAATGCTGAATCCTTGCGCACGCGAAGTCCTTCGCAAACGCGAGAGAGAGAACCTCGGCTCACCAAGAGTCCCGGGCACATGCGAGATCCTTTGAAATACGAGTGTTTCGTAAACACGCGAGATTCTTACACGTGCGAACACACCTTCCACGATTGCCTGGTTTAAGAATGCGACGAAACTATGTAACAGAGAGAGAGAGAGAGAGATGCGGCGAAATATTTCTCTCAAAATTAACGCGTCGGATGTGTTAACCGAGGATTTTACGATTAGAATCGCCGATAGAAATCTAATCCTTAATATACCTTAGCGGGATAAGAACCTCTCATACATATTCATGAGTCGCGAATGTTCCGCGTGCAATTATATACAGGGTGCTTCTAAAGCTATGTCAGAGATTTTAAGGATGTATTCTAGGAGTGAAAATAATGAGAATTCCTATAAACATGCGGGTCCAAAAATGCTTTCCCCTCGAGTTATAGCCCTCTTAAAGATGCGGGTGGCAAAATTGAAAAATATATTGTAGCCTAGCTTTCGAAGACTTTTTTAATGATCTGTGAAATTAGAGAGTTACAGTATATATTTTTCGATTTTTCCCTTAACTTTAGGGGGCTATAACTCGGAGGAAAAGCATTTTTGGAGCCATGTATAGGAACGTTTTCTCTTATTTTGACCCCTAAAGTACGTCCTTAAAATATGACATAATTTTAGAAACACCCTGTATAGAGTTGACGGAAATCTGCGCGAGTACAGGAGAAAGAGTTTTCTTTACTCTTCCTCGTTATCGTTAAATAGTATGATGACGTGCACATCGACGTATAACTATCGTCCAACGCAGCGGTGGATCGCTGATTACGACTTCCGTCGAGGGCCATTCACATCGCATCTCTCGTGCAATGCGCGCACGAGAGGGAAAGAAAACTTTCGCGATCGTCCTGCATGGGTTCCGCACGCAGAGGACATTATAATTCCAATTATTTTCGCTTACTTTATTATGCATTTATTTGTTGTAAAATATTACACGGATAAGAAGACTGTGCAAAATATATACTGCTTCGTACCCGCGGCTTAATACAGAACCGAAAACAATTAACTCCCTTTATTCGAATTTAATTATGAAAAAAAAGTTCGAGGAAAAAAGGAGTTTACAAATTTTCATCTAAACTAAATGCCGTACACGGAGATAATTTTCTCTTAGAATTTACCCTGAAAATCTTAGTAATTGTGGGACAATATGGTATTGAAATAATTTTATGAGTTTTTTTTATTAATAAAATTGAAAAATATTAATATGTACATAATAAATAATACCACAATAAAAAATATTAATATGTGCATAGCGAAATTAATCAAACATATTTTACATCTTAATGTGTTAGATATACATTTTGTTATTTGTGGTAAATATTAATCAGACTCTTCCAATAAAAAATAAAATTCTTCCAATGCCATATTGTCCCACTATTACCATGATTTTTAGGGTAAACTCTAAGAAAAAATTCTATGCAGTATTTCGCAATTTAGAATTAACTTTAATCGCGTTTAAATTTGAAAGATTGCAAAATTAAAAATAGCGTGTCGTTTATTATATTCATTAAATATTTATTCAAAGATATAACACGCTATAGAATTATATTAAAGAGTCATATTAATTTTAAATGAAATAATGAGATATAAACAGCTGATATAAAAATTATAACAAGTTTTAAATATAAAACCTAACAATTAGATGACTCATAGCAATATATATGATCATAATCTATTAGGCTGTAAGATATTACGATAGATGTTCACGGTAAATTATTCAGTTATCAAGATGAGTCATGCTTTTCGTCTGGCTCGTTTAGAGATATTTCCTATGCAACCGGAAATTCCGGGAAATAATGATGCAACGCATCGTATTTCTTTCTAATATAGCACACAGTACGATCGCAGGAAAAACCAACTTGTTTTTTTGTAGCTGGAATATATTGAAAAGTGCGAAGAGAAAAGTAAACAATCTCGGTACGATAATATTTGAAATCTGAGAAAACACATTCTTGTCTCTTTAATAAATGGCACGTGCATGATATCGATATTATTACACCGCGAAACAGATTTATCATCACTGTGTCGAAGAGTTTAAACAAGATAAGAACGGTGTGTATACATTGACTCCAAAACAGGAATCGATTAATTTACATAATGTTATCATAACAATTTAGTATAATAATGCAAGTTCAGTTTTGAATCGAATATTTAAATGCTGTACAAACCGTTTGTCTGTTTTTTTTATGCATACTTTCTATAGCATATGCATTTTTTAATAATTTGTATATCTTCATATTTTCTATGTGATTTATATGAATTGACTTTGGATCGTACAATTGCAAATTTCCAAGTAATTAATTTTATAGATCCCATACATTGTATACTCACATATATACATATACATATATATATACAATATAAATCAAATATATTAAAAGTCATAACAAATAAAAATTTTATAATATATTGCTTTGAATGTATCGTTCTTTTTCAATGTTCACTCTTTGTTGTACTTCTTTATATTTAATAACAAAAAATTTACAAATATATATGTATATGTATAAACAATCATTTCTATTATTATACGAGGGAAGATAAAACAAACATTTATATTTTATATTGTACATCTATAAAACACTATATATACTATATATATACTTTTCTATAGACAATAAAATTGACTGCAAATTCGCTTTGAATTTTGTAGAAAAAATTGTGTACGCGACAAAAAACTCACAGAAATAATTTTCAGACAAAGAAATTGCAAACAAAAGTGCAGTAATAACAACGTTTGTCTCACAAGTAGAATTAAAACTGAAAAAAAAAAACATTCTTCGAACGTGACGATTTTTTTCTCGCGTCGGAATATTTTTTTCGGGTCATTCGGAAAAACTAAATTTTTAATCGCGCGCGCGGGAGAAATTTCGCGATGTCAAAAACATATGTACGTATTGTATAAGACGATTTCTCTTGTAATTCGCGGCCACTATCTCGCTCGACCGCTTGCAAGAAACGTGTAGAGACACGCGACAAACGCGCTCAGCTCCGTGAAAGGATGATTCACGGGAGAGACGCGTACATAGATACATGTGTGTGCACGCACACACGCGTCAAAAATATTCACGAGCACGGTATATGCACCGTAATATACATGTATGTACTACACAATGCACGCACACAATAAGACACGTAAATCGCGTCCTGTTTTGCGAAACGCGAGACACGGTCGGAGACAAAAAAAAAAATGCGAGACTCACCGCTTTCGATGTAGGGAACCAGCAACAGCAGCAGCAGGAACAGAACGTATCCGCACGTGTCACTGATCATCGTAACACTATATCCCTCGCTGCAGTCAGGACGCGCCGCGCTGGCTACCTGGCGTCGATCGGCACCACCTTCGCGAGTATCCGCGAACTCGCAGATGCAAAACAAACGGCGTGACGCGGCGTGGCGCGGTCGACTAGCAACAGGGTCGACGACAACAATGAACGAAGGAGAACGCGCGTTACAATCCCGCACTTTTTCTTCTCCTCACTCGTTTCTTTTTTTTCCTCGCTCCTTGCCTCTTCCAACAACACTGCACACACCACCGCGTACGATGTCTCGAGCACGACGAACGCGAGTTTTGCTGTTACGCTCCTCTCGCGCGACGACGATATATATGTACAATCGACGCGGACGATCGGTTGCTGCCTCACTTGACACGACGGCCACCACAACGACACGAACGTTATACGTGAACGCGACGCGCGTCTCTTCTCCCTCTCGCTCCTTCCGTTGCTCTCTTTCTCCTCGTTTATTCGTTCTCTCTCTCTCTCTCTTTCGTTATCAAAGAGATTTACGCCATCGTTTTCCCCGTCGAGATCACGCTCGCACGCGGATGCTGCACGACGACCACCGCCGACCAACACACACACACGCGCACTACCTACTTGTTCCGCCCCTCGTCGTCTCGCGACTAACTTCAGCTGGCTGGAGCCTCGGCTCGCTCGTTTTCCGTTCCTTCACCGCTCGCTCGCTCGCTTTCCCCGCTCCGTTTCGCGCCGATGACAATCCGTTGCCCCGCGAACAGCTGACGGATCTCCGGGCTGTTGCTCGTATTTTCACGCACAACGCGAAATCGAGCACGAGGACGATGACGACGACGACGACGAGAACGACGACGACGACGACGAGGACGATAACGGCCACTCGATATTTAGCAGACGCATCGCAGCGGCAACAAAACACGCACACACGTATACACTGACGGACGCGCACACGCACGTACAAACCCCACCGAAGCCACCGATACACCAGTCCTGCCACCGCCGGGATCCTGCACTTCCCTACCTAACCGCCTACGGTACCTTGCGACGTGCGTGCGCGATGCTAACTGCCTCACTGTCTCCGGGCGCCCGAGAAACGACGCCGTCAGATGGCGACACGTACCGCTCGCCGCGACCTCCGTCCTTTTCTAGAGCTGTGACGTCACGCGACATTGACGCGACGCGACGCCGTCATGCGCAACAGCCTTTCATTTACTTATTTTGCATATACGAAGGACTATACTGAACAAAATATTTATGTAAAATTACATGATTAAGCTAGGTTTTTTTCCGACCCAGCATATTGATACTTGCAATATTGATACTTATATGGAAGATTACAGATTATATGTAATTTTATATGAAATGTATTCTTAAATATTTTCAAGATTAAAAATATTTCACTGAACATGTAATTACACATAGGAAATGTTAGTAATGTATAAATGCTATAAAATAATGTTATAAATAAAAAATAGATAAATACTTATAAAATAAAATTCTAATAAAGTAAAAATAATAAATTTAAAATTACATATGATTTTTGCATAAAAATAGTAATTTTACCTATATTTTACATGTATTTTTACATTAATATGTATTTTCACTTTAAAACAAATGGAAAAAAATCACAGTGATAAGCAAGTATAACTTTTCCAGTTCTAAACTAGTAATTTCCATGTAAAAGTACATGGATTTTTTTCAGTGATATGGACAGCTTCGTCCTCTTCGAATTGTGTATATCATTCAATCAAAATTTATATGAGACTTACTGATGCGATCCTCAGCAGCAAACTTGTATACTGTAAAATATAAATACATGAAAATTATATAACAAAATTTAAAATTGATTTTCCGAAAAAGAATTATTATTTATATTGAAATTAATAATCAAAATAGTAGTAAGAAAGAATAAATAATTACTCACCATGTAGTTGCTTCTCCGTTGCCCGATGTCCCCCAGGCCTCATCCTCCTCTCGTAGAAGCTTCGAAACACTTGCACTCGCGTTATTTTTTCTCGTTCGCGATGTCCGGGTTTTAGCTGTCGCATTTTCGACGCGTTTCGGTAAAACGCAAGAGCTTATTCGCGCGCGAATGAAACCGATGCTCCGTTTTCGCGTTGCCGCTTTTTCAAGACTTCTCGGAGGGCCTTATATATCGATACGTACTCAGAAATCGTCGATATTCCCGAATTAATCACACACACATAATATATCACGATGTCGGTACACGCGACGCGATCGGATTTATAAATAACGACACTAATTTTGATATTAATATTCATACTCGTACTTTCGCGAACCGGTGATGAATCGCGCGAACGTTGAACCGTGAACAATGAGAAAGTACACTAGAGGGCAGCAATAACATTCTAGATTGTGTTCGGAAATATATTCACTTAGAGCGAAGCGCTCAATCGACCAATCAGGACAAAGAGATCCTCAGTCTCCGATTGGTCGGTTAAATTCTGCACTTTCGTGAATATATTTTCTAACATAATTTAGGATACTGCTGCCCCCTCGTGTATTATTCGCATTGTTTATGAACAAAGTTCGCGCGCTTATTGTTCCACGTTGGTCCGCAAAAATACAAGTGTAAATATATTAATTATCCTATAAATCCGATTGTATCGCGATATCGTAATCTGTATATATGACTAATTCAGGATTATCGGCGACTCCGAAAGGAAGTTATCGCATATGTATTGTCTTTCGATATAATTATAAGGCCCTCCGAAAGTAGCCTTGAAAAAAGTGGCGAAGACGGAACATCAATTTTATTCGCGCGCGAATAAGCTCTCGCATTTTACCAAAGTGCGTCAAAAATGTGACAGCTAAAATCCGGACGTCGTCGCGAGTCGCAATCGAAAAAATTTAACGCGAGTGCAAGTGTTTCGAAGCTTTTACGAGAGAAGAAGGTGGCCCGGGAGACATCGGGCAATGGCTGAGTTACCATATAGTGAGTAATTATTATATTTTAATTTAATACGTTAATATTATTATTTACTCTTTATTATTATAATTTTTACTATGAAACTTAATGTAAATAATAATTTTATATTAATTATTTTTCGAAATATTAATTATTTTAAATTCCAATTATATAAATTTTCATATTATATTTATATTTTACAGTTTACAACTTCGCTGCTGAGCATCGTATCGGTGAGTCTCATCAATTTTTATATAAATTTTAGATAATAATTTTGTGAAAATAATTCTTTCCGATTTTACCAAATCTTTATTGTATTTTTGTACATGAAATGCGAATCTGTAAATAAAAATCCGAACCTATTATAACTTTTTTCCTACTTAAGTGCGACAATTTTAATTTATAGATTTGTTTTACACACAGAAATACACAATATTGTAAAGTTTCGGCAAAATCGAAGAGGACGGAGCTACAGTATTACCATTATTTTACCTCCTAACACATGTACAAACGAGATCACAATTGTTTTTGAAATATAAATTACGATTCAATATAAATACGATAATGATGTAATTACGGGATATCTTGTTTGTAAACATGGTGCATTAATTATTATCGTATTATTTTTGTTTTATTTTTGAAATGCAAAATGCTAATTCGTATTACATACATACACATACATTTGATACAATTTCTGAACTTGAAACAATATAAATTTTATTAAAACAACTGATGTTAAAGAAAGATAAATGCTACAATCTAACAAAATATTTTATTATTAATTTTTTATTATTAAACTGAGCACAATATCAAGAACGTATTTCCGCATTTTGAAGCCTATACTCATACATTTTTCTATTAGCTTCAGTCATTTAAAGCGATTATTAATTTTTCCAAATTTTAGGACTCACAATCAATGTTCGAATCATTATGTTAGGTATTGTAGAGATTAGATTGTACAGATGTAAATGTAGATATTTTTATATATTTTTCTAAAAAGATTTATTATTATAAATATTAAAAAGTTTTTATTATATTTTTATATATGTATGTCAAACATTTTTATTATTAAATTAAAATTATTATTATAATATTTATATGTTTTTACACGTCAACCGTCGCAAATTCGATAATTAATCAGTACAACCGGCCAATCTCAAAATATAAAATAAATAAAATAAAGTAATGCGCGTAGTATAGAATTTACGTTAAAAATTCTAACACATTCTCATAAATTATTACGCAAATTTTTAGTCACTATTTTTTCATTTTTTAAAATTGCGATAATATAAATATAATATAAAATACCTGCAAAATACCTTTTAAATCTCATGTTATTTTACTATAAATTTGTAGTTCGTTTTAGTGTGTCGTCACGGGAGTGTCGTTAAAAATATCGCACGTTTAGTGCGGGAATTTCGCGCAAAGTATCGCGCGTTTAGTGCGGGAATTTCGCTCAAAGTATCGTGCATTTAGTGCGGGAGTGTCGTTCAAAGTATCGCGTGTTTCGGAAATCGACGGACTAACAATAAACGGACAATTCTGATCAACCCGATCTGATTGTGAAAGAAAGAGCAGGCCTAGGAGCCATCGGGCACCGGCGGAGCAACTCTGGGGTGAGTATTGTAATATTGTATAATATACTTGTTATTAATCGCGTACACGCATATATACATATATTATCTTCTATTTCAATATCAGAATAATATTCAAACAAAAAAAAATACTTTTGAAATATGTATAAGTCTTATAAAAGTTTATATTATAAAAAATAGTCTCGAAATTTATAAAGTTACTCAATTATACATCTACTGATGAATGAATATAAATGTATGTACATATATAGATGTATTGAATATAAAATTTAATGAACATAATAATTTTTCAAAATATTAATTATTTAAAGCGCTGCTATAATTTAAATTTTATTTATATGTTACAGATCAATGTAGCTTCGATGCAGTTCTAACTCTGCTGCGTTGCGCATTGGCCGGTGAGTGATAAGTGATAAGTTATTATTTCATAATACAACTAACAATATTTGTAGAGCTAATAATATCTGTAGAACTAACAGTATTTATAGAACTAATAATATTTGTATAGATTAGATTGTGTATATGTAGATGTATATTTAGATCGTAGATTGTAGATAGTCCCAATTACAGCCGTTTAATTATTTTTATAAATAATTATTACAAGTAAAAAATATATATATTTAACATATGTAGTTCATAATCCGTTCTTAATAATGAATAAGACGAGTTTATGTGAGGTGGGAAAAACACGAATTAAAATGTTTAACATTGGACGTATGTAAGAGCTAAAGTTAGTGTAAGATAAGCAGTATTTCGTGAATTACTCGGTATTCTGATGAGAGTTAATACAATGTTGGCGTAGTTAAGTTAGTTTGAACTTATTAAAGTCATAAATATATAAGGTGAAAAAATTTTTAAAGTCACAGGTTTAGCTCAAGTCTATTTAAAACAATATAAACTAGCTATTATAATAATTTTAATTTAAATAATAATTAAAATTAAAATATATTGTGCGTTAACGGATACATATATATAACTATAATAATTACTTGACATTTTTAAGTTAAAATTTTATAGTGTGTGTGTGCTGGCACCATTTCTTAAAAGATCATAAATAAAATTCAGAGCTCTGGCTTTATTTTCAATAGATCTAGAAGAGTTCTTTATAGTTTAAACAAATAGTTTTGGCGAATTAAACCAAAGAAAATACCTATATAAATAAGGACAAACTGATATGCAGCTTCATGCTGCATATTACATTATCCTACATTTCCCTTATCAACAATTGCACAAATTAAAAAAAATTTATAGTTCTACAAGAGTTCTAAGAAGAGCTCTGCCTTCTAGAAATAAAAAATATTAATTACAAATCAAATTTAGCCATTTAGATACCATAACGTTAGATTACGGCACGATTTCTTTCAATATTTTTAATTATCTCTTGGAGTTTAATTAATCAATATATTTTTAAACACGCTTTTTTATTTTAATAAATTTTAATTATTACCAGCTATAATTAATTTTTTTCTAATTTTAGGGACAAGTGTATACTTTTGTGTTTTATCACGTATTTGTAAAAATATTTTTTGGAAGATTATACAATTAATGTTTTATATTTTTAAATACGCTCTTTTATTTTTTAATGTTTTAATTAGCAGTGATAATTTTTTTTCTTAATCTTAAATTTGATTATATTAGGTTATGTGTGTTTTTATTATATTTTTTATTATTTTTCGAAGAATTTCTTAAATGTTTTTCTATATTTTTAAACGCGTTCTCAGTTTTTAAAGTTTTAGTCATTAGGGGCGATAATTAATTTTTTTATAATCTTATGATCGATATATATTGTTACGCAGAAAATAGAAATACAATCAAAAATTTAATATTAATCTTACTATAATAAAGTATATAATTATTTAACTAAAGTATAAAATTTAGTTTTCTTTGATGTTAAAAATATCTTTGATCTTACGGCAGTTTTGAATAATGAATGAGGGCATTGACAGTTTTGGTTAAAAGTCAAAATTTCACTAATGGATGTGATGGATGTGATATTTCAATATGTCAAAATAAAGAGGTCATACCAATTTCTGTTTTAATCAGAAATCAGTTAAAATTTAGTGCATATAAAATAAAATTCTATGAATCATTATTTATCAGTATGATCTCATTTTCTTATTTTTTATCCAAATTATCATCTATATGTTAACCTACGAAAAGTAACCTTTTTTAATTATGCTTGTTTAAAAATTACATTAATTATCTGAAACAATAAAACTGCTTATCCATATTATCCTATCTCTTTCAGAAAAGTTGGAAACTCTGAGAGAATAAATTATTTGATACCAATGTGAAATAATTATCTATATTATCCAAACTACATATTTAATTGGGAATAATTCCGCCGATAATTACTTTTTAACGAATGGAACCTAAGAAAATCCGATTAGATGAAAATGCATCCGACTGTGAATTCGGATGAATCCGTAACAGCAGATCGATCCGCACATATCGTTCGGTACACTGATCATCCATCACGAAATCCTAAGGAACAAATACCTAGCACGAAAAATGCACAAACGGAATACAAAGTGCATTTATTGCAAAATGCTGCCCATTCCTCAACATATAATTCTAACAGTAAGCAATGTACATCCGACTCTTTGTGAATCAATCTGAAAAATAACTCCATTTCCGCTTTTACATCGTATTTCCGCTTTCAATTTTCCATACTGCGGATATCGGTTTTCTTTTTTTGTTATATCAAAAATTAAAATAGATACGAGTTTAATATTTGTTCAAACATAATATAAAAATAATACATCAGAATGAACAAAAATAATAAGGAACACACAAACATGAATTTAAATAAATTATTTGAATAATTAAATTATTTAATAATTAAATTATTAAGCAATTCTCGCAGTTTTAATCGCTATTTTCGTTCGCATTAAAATAATTTTAACTTAACATAATTTTCATCACACTCGCAATCTTTTAGCGTTATCAGATTAGGATTAATTATTGGGTTTAACTCGCAGCGACACCGTCAGATCGTCACAATGCATATCGCGAACGGCGTGTCAACGACATAGTGGAAAATCAATTGGACGTCCCGAAAAATGCCGAGCAGTCAGAGCAAGAGCATAAAAGTGTCGACACGCGTGATATTGATTTGCTACATAGATATCGATTAAAGACATGCAAGTTGCGTTTATGGTGCGAGAGATTGTGCCGTAAAAAGAAAGAATATTCCGAACGCGTTCGGAAAGAACGGACGAGATGGTTTCTGAAACTGAAAGAGCGAAGCAGAGAGCGCGAGCAACCAGACGACGTCGTAGCGGTCGCCGGTGTATCAGGCACTCCGCGAGAACCAATAAGCCGCGGGACTGCCCCGAGGAAATCCAAGAAAGGTCGTAAACAGGACGAAGCGGTGGAAATTGCTGATAAGGACGTCTTTGAGAAAATCAGAGAGGAAATAAGAAGAAAGGAAAGGAAGGAGCGGAAAAAGAGAGAGAGACGTAAACTGGAAGAGCAAATGCGGGACTTTATCGTGGACACGCACTTGGTGACGCCCGACGACCGCCCAGAAGTCCCCGAGGATCACGTCCCCGGGAAACCGCCTTCCCCATTCATCGACTTCACCAAGACCTGCTGTTACTTGTGCGCCCAGAACACCCTGGCGATCGCGGCCGCGAGCGCCAAACCGGAGCAGTCTGACAAGTGCGTCCAAGTTTCGGCCCATAAATTTCATGCGGAGACACCCCCGACGCTCGATAAGAGCTGCAGCCCGACGCTGCTGGTGGTGCGCACTGTGCAGTTGTCCGCCAAAGTGAGGACGCGCGAGACCAGCACGCTCTGTCCCGGTAGGAGTCTGCCGCGGCACGGAGAAACGGAGCCGAGGTCAAAAAAACCTAAGAATAAGTTCAACGTATTCTCGGGCTTGACGCGGACCAAGTGCCCAGCGGGACGGCACGCTGCCTGCGAGATTGATAAACCCGCGGCCGCTGAACGCGAGCCGAGAAATGAGAAATGTTGCAGGGAGAAGAACGCTTGATACATCAGACATATCGGAATTTATTCATTATTGCGTGGCCTTTAATTATCCGCTGGGGAAGAAATAATTATACGCATAATTATCTCTCAACTCTCTTGTTCGTGATCCTGTTATTTTATATTATTATATTCAGGATTCATGATTTTATCAAAATATGTAATTACCTTGCATTACCGAGATGCAACTCTACTTTTATCTTTCTACCTTCTCGTACAAAATTAAAAAATAAAATATTTATTTGATACAGATATCTTTGATAAAGAAATAAAGATTTATATTATTAGAAAGAGGAAACAGGGAAAGGAGCTACTCATGTATTGCGTATAGACAATGGATATTATTTTTTTCATGCATTCACGATGTTACGTCCTTTTCATTTTTAAATGGCATTTTGCTGCGGGTTTCCTATAAACTTTACATAGAAATGCGCGACCCTAACTTGAATATATATTTGAATTGCATGTTGCATACGAATAATTTCGATAACACACGTTCAACTTGGTTTGCATCTCCGCTGATAAATTATACCTTCCTAAGCTTTGTTCCATTTACACGCGCATACACCATAAACAAAAGACGTGATTTGTTAAACTATGCACAAGTTAAAACAGTTAGTTAGAGCAGAGTCCTACGTACACATAATTCTTTCATCGGATGACATAAAATCTCATCCTTTCTGCTTTTCACATTTCTTATTCTTCCGCTTTCAACGACCTTTCTTCGTCATGATTCTCGCGAAGTTTGATAGACGATAAGAAGTTCCCTTTTTATCTCGCTCTTTATTAAAGATAGTAAAGTGCAGCGTTTTTTCATAGAAGCCTTCAAGTCTTTCAATTATATTGCTACCTCGTTTCATAAAGTTTGCGAGAAAGCTAAGGCTCGCTTTATGGTTATTAAAAAAAAAAAAGACATTGTTGAAATTTCAAGCAAATAGTACAAGTATTATGGTATTTCTTAAAGATCTTCAATGAAGAAAAAAATAGTTTGTCAAATGTTATTTATTTAATTGCTTAATTTAATAAATACTATTAGAGGTAAAACATTGAATTAAAAATGCAATCGAAAATTGAGGATATATAGTTGGTTTTGATAATAGTGAAAAATAAAGTAACTACAAAAGTTTTTATACAAAAAGAAATCATAGAAAAAAATATATTGTATGTTCAACTTTAGTTTTTTGCTCGTGTAAGAAATACAAAATTCTTTGATTACAAATATTTTTGTATGAAATGTGCAAAAATGTTTCACATGTAGATTTTTGCTCTCTTATATTATATATTAGCAAGTTTTCAAGTTTCACTCCAAGAATGCTCGAAACTTCAACAGGGTGGAAAAAAGTAGACACGAGACATCAGGCGCTCCGTCTATATCAACGTCACATTTCCATATCGTTTTCATATTATTTTCACATGTTGCTTATACATAGCATTTCCGTGCGGCCATTTGTGTCGCTTCCGCGTCACTTGCACATAAATGTCACTTGAATACAATCTTATCTTGCCGCTGCCGGAAACATGAAAAATCACGAATAAACTTGTCAGAGTTCGTCTATTTTTCACACAACTCTTGTAGATATTACATAAATCTATAATCATCATATTTTATATACGATATAGATATAATCTCTGCCTGAAAAGCGTATTGTAGTTTGAAATGTCTTCAAATCCCTTAATTATTATTGGAATAAAATCTCTTATTCAAAACAATTGAATAAGTACAGGAGTCATCTATTTTTCATGTGATCTTCGTGAACATTACATGAATCTGTAGTAATAGCATTTTATATACAGCAAAGATAAATCAATCTAAAAGCTCTAGAAATCAAAAGGATAATTTAAAATTGCTTTACATCGCATTTGAAAATAATTTCATTTCGTTACCATTACAAATGTGAAAAATTAAAAATAAATTAGAACTTCTACTTTGAACGAAACATTAGCAGGTAGAACGCAAATGTACAACCATATATTTTATGTACAATAAACAGAATCGATTTTACAGAGACGTATCGTAATAGAAAAAAGTTGCTTCACAATTTGCGAGAGTCTATATAAAATTATACGAATGATATCTTATAATAGTGTCCAAATTTATATTAGATAAAAATCTTTGTATAATAAAACATAAACACGTAATAATATAAAAACATAAAAAAAGAGGAAGAAAACACTCGAAAAATTTGCAATGGCCAACGGAAGGTCTTATTGCACTTCGCGGTCGCCCGGTCGACAATCGACCAAGTAGTTCGAGTCGGCGCTATGTCAGACCGTATCTGAAGACGATACGATGGCTCGAGTCGGCAAGCTAGAATTCGCGTCATCCGACAACGAGCTTCCAAACATCAAAGGTGCCGCGTAATACGGCAATAGAGGGTACTGGGTGGTCGGGAAATACGTAGGTGGAAAAAGTCCCTGCCTCTGAGCGATCTTTAGACGCGATGTCAACTGCTTCTTCCACTTCGTGCGGCGATTCTGAAACCACGTCTTGATCTGCACCTCAGTGAGATTTAGACACTTGGACAGCTCCATACGCTTGCTCACGCTGAGATATTTATCGATCTATGAAGAAATAAATATGAAGAAATCTGTGAAAAACTAATACAAATATTCGCCATCATACATATGTATAAAGGAAATGCTGTACGAAAAAGACTACAAAATAATGTCGCATATAAAGGAAAGGAAGGGCGCAGAAAGAACTATACCTTAAATTCTGCTTCGAGTCTTTCCAATTGTTTCGCACTGTAAGCTTGACGAGGTTTTCGATCGATACCCGGTTTCCTCGATCTTCTACCGCTCGGTTTCGGTGCTGCAAAAATCATCAATTTTTTTCATATCACTGTTGTTAATTGCGTCATATGATTAGGACTGCCGCAACTATGTAGTCACTGCTAATTACATGAGAACCCTCTTAAAATCTCTGACAGTTTATGACATTCTGGAGATTTATTGTTGCGATAATCAAAATTTAATATTCTAATCGCGCTTCTTAATTGCTCGGCTAACTTCGCCAGTCCGGGTCCGGACTCAATTACCACCTTCTTACGATTTCGAGGCATCATTCGAATCCTGTGTAAAATTACAGAACGTGTCTAAAATGTGTGAGACTGTTTGCAGAATGTGTGACATTCTGTTGTCAATACCATCGAGACGAAGTGGCAACGAGCTACGCAAACAATTTATGACGGAGAACGTTTGAATGCGATTATCACCGTAGTGCAAAGAAGTAATACACATTTTTTTGACAAGCAGACGAAACATTATAACGTAATTAGTCGCACTAGAACAATATCGTGATTGTTAATCACGTCGACAAATATCCGCGTGTAGTTGCGCTAGAATACAAATACCGAAAGCACAATAAGAATAACTTTTCAGATTAACACTAACACTTTGATACTATAAAAAATAAATCAAATTAAATAAATCTATATATATATATATAATTTTCTTCTCTTTTCTATCTAATATAATTTTCGAATTATAAAAATATAGAAATATTAGAAAGGGAATTATTATATTATTTGTTTATTCGAAACAATAATATACAAAGAAAAAGAGAAAAAGAGAAGGCGAAAAAAAAAACAAAAGAAATAGAAATAAAAAAGCTAAAGAAAAGGAAAAATATTTATTAAAATTTTTTTCTTATTTTACACAAAATAATCTTTAATATAAAATTAAATACTTTTTTTTATCAACGACACTTTTATGGTTTTTATGTAGAAGTATACATATATATATAAAATATATATAATTCGATAACGTTACATTGCAGATATGAAAGTTTGCTAAAATGCAATGTTAAATTTTTTTAAATTATTAATAATTTTATTAATATTAATAGTGTCAGTCTTTCTTTTCTCTCGTATTGTTTGTTCACGTTAATCTCTGAAAATAGCATTGGCTCGTTTAACAAAAAAATTCTCAAGATCGCGATGTTTCCACATAGAAATAGAAATTTTTTGCTTTTTCTTCGTGTTTAATCACCAGTTAGCCAGGCGGCCCTTACATGACAAGTCAACAAATAGATGTCGCGTATTTATATAAGAAAGACCTTTGTGTTTTTACTGAACCCTTTTAGCCTATGACTACGCAGAACGGCACAGTTTTATTAGTTAAAATGTTAGCGACGTGAAAATTGTGGGTTTATCTCAAATCAAATAAATTTATCGTATTTTCAATATATCTACAAAAGTGCAATTCAATTTTTCTAGCACATATTTTTCATATCTATTTACAATATATCGACACGTTTTATTTGTAACAATACGTTAACTATTGTGCAAATTCGTAATCTTGCAAGTAGATTTTAAAGACTTAAAATGTTAATTCGATATATGCTCTGTAAATAATATTCAAGAAGCACGTGTTTTTTAACTATACAGTGTAAAATATTTGTTTGTCTAATATTTTATTAGAAGATAACACGATTATTAAATACGATAAAATCAATAAAGTTTAGTTAGTAAAGATCGCATATATAAGAGCCGTTTTATTATGTAAATTAAATCATTATAAAATAGATATTTAATTGTAAATTAATAGAATACAAATCGTACGAATAAAAAATGATTACATTTCTTAGAAATCGAAAGAGACTAGTAGTGACCGAAAAGGAGAATGCCTACAATGACGAAGAAGAAGAACCGGCGGGACCAAGATTTACGAGTGTACAGAGACATTTAACATCTTCGCGAAAGATAGTTAGACCAACGATGCTGATAAATGGGCTCCTAACAGTATGGCGGATAGTAGCCAGAAAGGGAGAAACAGTGATGGCGGATTTCAATTTTATCTCACAATCATAAAATATCGATTTTTTAGCTAAAGATTAACTCGTAGTTTTATGACATTACGGTAGTAACTCTTTTGCTCGTATACTCAGTGGCCCAGTTGTTGTATCCCTCCGTTTTTCGGCACGTTGCCGGCAAAATATTAAATACTTAGCCACGTAAAAATCAACTATTAATTGATTCGCATAATGTTTCATTCTTCTTGATTCTCAATTTGACACAATTTCCGTACTCTATCATTATTTTAAAAACTTTGTACGAATAAATATAATTTCTTTCAATATTCCGCCTAGTATTATAAATATAATATAGATAGAATTGTAGATTTTTGTAGTGTAAACTTGCAAAAGAGTACTACCGTAATGTCATAAAACTCGATTAACTCGTAGTTTTATGACATTACGGTAGTACTCTTTTGCAAGTTTACACTACAAAAATCTACAATTCTATCTATATTATATTTATAATACTAGGCGGAATATTGAAAGAAATTATATTTATTCGTACAAAGTTTTTAAAATAATGATAGAGTACGGAAATTGTGTCAAATTGAGAATCAAGAAGAATGAAACATTATGCGAATCAATTAATAGTTGATTTTTACGTGGCTAAATATTTAATATTTTGCCGGCAACGTGCCGAAAAACAGAGAGATACAACAACTGGGCCACTGATGTGTACCTCGCGTGTCGAAAAGCTGTTATCGTAGGCGCCTCGTATAATATCCAATATTCGTTGAAGCCGAGAAAGAGGGTTGCCCACCTTACACCTCTCTCAGTATTGTTCGCGAAAATGGAATTACGGCGGTAAGTTATTACAAGTGGATAATAATTAGAGTCTTTTGTCGTCGCGAAAACATTCGTGCCTCTCACAACACAAAGAAAAATATATCTAGCATCATAACGATTTTCTTTACGCGTAAAAAATACTTGTAATATTTTTTTGTGGAGACAGAGCTGGAAAATATCCTCTCTAACATATCTGAATGCTTTCAACACCGAATAAATCAAAGATAAATTTGATGCGACATTATTTTTTTAAGACAATTTTTCTCTTTCTCTCTTTTTCTTTTTGTTTGAAGGTAACACTTTATCCTATAAAACTGCTTATATCAAGAATAAAAAAATAGATCTCTGATATAACTACGTAATAAACTAAATTTACTTTAAAGTTTTAAACTTACCTTGCAAGCCAAACAGTTGACCAGGTTTTGTTTGAGCAAACCAACTACTGTACAATAATGAGGCCGATGCAAGTGATGTCGCGGAATATGCCGAAGAGTCGGTTAAAGCACCTTCAGGATACGGGAATCCCGTATGAGTGTACACACCTTCTAGATCTATTAAATCATAAAATCCGTTTTTGAAAACAAAACTTTTTAAAACATTATAAATTTTTAAATAATTTATCGTAGAAAAATTATTTTTAAATTTAGAGAAATTATATGAAGAATATTATACATATATATTATCATATTTGTCCAACTTTGGATAGAATTTTAAAAGTAGATATAGAATAAATATTGTTAAATAATATTATAATAATATTATAATAAATATTATAATATTTAATTTTTTGTTGCTAAGAATTTAACATTTTGCTGTAACGTGTCAAAAATGAAGGGATACAACAATTGAATTAGTGACATGTGTCTCTCGCACATATTGAAAATTATATATAATTAATAGAATATATATTTTTTCTCTTATCTTCTTTTAATGCATACATTTATATAAAAAAATTGACTGAATAATAGAACACGTATATTTATGACGTACCAGGACGTGTGGCTGGTATCGCTGTTGGCCTAACGAAATGTCTTTCAATCCTATCGTCCATTTCTTCGTGATCCTCTTCTTTATCACGAGAACTATCTAGTCTCGAAGATTGATCCCTCTTTTCATTTCTTCCAAGAATGCTGTCAATAGTGAAAGCACTGGACGCAGCGATAGGGGATGAATTTCTTCTTTCGGTTTGCTGTTTTTGAAACTCTCTGTAACCTTCGCAGCTGGAATCTGATACGTATTCGATAGATTCCCGATTGATCGGCGATCTGCCGTCTCGCTCATTAGCGTTCGAATAAACTTCGTTCTCATTTGAAAGCGAGCGCGTCCGACGAAGATCATAAACATCATTGTTCATTTTCTCGCAGAGTTCCATTTTATGATAAATCATCGATCTTGACTATGATCTCGATGTTATTCGTTAATATCCTTCGATAATCCTGTAATCTTATTGTTAATCCAATTTTGCGCACTTCACATTTGATATCGGTTTATCGAAACAATGCTTTCTTTTTTATGTTTATATTAAAAAAAATTACGGTTATTTATATAAATTGTTTAAAAAGATCTGAGATTGCTGTGCATCTGCCATGTCTATCTTTATTCAACGCCGCACGATGAAATCAGAAACGATTTTATATTTTTTAACATACCGGTAAAGTAGAATAAAATCTTGTAATTTTGATAAAAAAAAATATCTACTTGCGAATCAAAATCGCAGACAATTTTGCACGCGTTATCCTTTTGATCAATCACATCTGATCTCGTACTAATCTCCTTCCGAACTGTCCGAAAGCAAGTACTTCCGAAAGTATGACAAGTGGCACGTGTCTGTGGTCCAGAGAAGAACCTCCCAGCATCCCCACCAGTTTTCCACAGAAAGGTCATCCCGCGAGGCTGGAAGAATATCTCGCACGTCGGGATCTCCCCACTTACTATCTCGGAGTAGGGATCACAGAATCTCGCGGCAGTTTATGGTTGATTTCCTATTTTAAAACCATTATAGCTGTCAAATTTTATTCTATTATTTATAATATTTAATCTTTTTTTATTGGTCCGTTAAATACATGATTCACAAAATTGGCGACAAGATTTAATATAATAATATTGTTTTTATCATAATTTACAGAAATACATCAAGTGTTAAATACAAATAGAAACATATAAAAATATATATCCAAGATATGTAAGATTTCACATTTTTGAAACTCATGTATTATCGTATCTATTGATGATCGTTATTGATATTAGCACAGCTCTTATACACATATATGTACATAAAATATTAGAATATCTTCGTTTACATATATTGATATATATATATATATATTTATTCTATTTGCACAATTTCTATAAACTGTATCTTTTTCGACGTAATTTATGTTATACATTACATTGCTATTTTCATCGCAATATCGCACGTTCCCTATCAATACAGTATAATTTTGCAAATTCGCAGGACAGGTCTATTTCTTATATTATTATTTTATCGAGACATTTACGTGTTTTATCGTTTCTTTTAGAAAAAGTGCTTGAGTTCGACGATTTGGCTTGCGCACTAGGGTGAGTTTCTCCAGGGAGAAAGCGCTCAAAGGGGTTCAAAGGGTGGAATCTCGGATTGGTCCTAAACGCGCATGCTGCTCGCGCAGTGGCCGCCTTCTTTGACCCCTCTATCTCGGAGCTTTATACCAGTAAAACGATGGTCGTTCTCTTCTCTCTTTCCCGTTCACGCTTTAGCAATGGATAAACGCTTCTGCCACGCGAAGAACATCATGAAAAAGTACCGCAAAACACTTCTTCACGCGTTTAGCGAACTACGCGCAGTGGTTCTCACTATGCTCCAGAAAATATGCACTTCTTATTCATTACGTAGACATCAGATTATATCTCGTTGACGTAATGTCATATTGCGAATTCATCAGTAGAAATACGACAATAATTATAATAAATCATGTATGCGTGAAAAATCGATTTAAAATATATTTATCCGAACAATTTTTAATTTAATTTGTAAAAAAGACAATTTTTTAATGAATGAGAACGAGACAAATGCTCGATATTTTTGAGAAATATGAATTTAATGAAATAAAACCGATAGCGTCGCGTTTCGCAATGATTGGAGACTTTCAGCTTCCTACGTGGATGATAGCTCTTATCGAACCATATCGTGTTATTTCTGTTTACGAGCACAGTATGGCGGCCATTTTCGCGAATGCTGCGTCCATTAGTCTCCAGACTACTCGTGCCAATCTCAATGTTCATCCTCGCACACCGTAAATCCACTCGCTTCTGTGGCTAAAAGGACCAATGGCGATTGTGAGCCCTTTCTATTGCTCGGTTCCTCGTCATCGATCCTCACCCCGATCCACGTCTGAGTTATTTCGTCTTTGTGGAAGAACATATATCAAATATATATCTTTTTGTATACATTAGACACTTCAGCATGCAGTGTCGTATTCTGGAAACGTAGTCATTATTAAACTTTCCGCATAGAGACAGAGAGAGAGAGAGAGAGAGAGAGACTTGGATAATATAACTATTATATTGGAAATAATTTTAGAAACTTTATATATATATAAATATAAATTATACAATAATATAATAATTTAACAATTTAAAATAGTTGAGAGTATGTCATGTTATCTACCTACAAGGATTGTCTTTTGTATTTTAGGTATAGAAGAGAAAAAAAACTTAAACTTTTGAAAATAGAAACAGAGTACGCATCTTTAAAATTATGCAAAAATTCCATATACATATATTTAAATTAAAATGTGTATAATGCAGTTAATACATAATTTAAAAAAAATTTTTAATATAATCAAATCGATGGGAATTTTTTTAATTCTCGATGTGATTCACGAGCTGATTACTTTTGCACATTTAAGTCGCAAAATTTACGTTGCTTGTCTCGTGTCGCACACGCTTTTTTATATGCTGATTATATGCGGGGTTGAACATTTTACACGTACTTGTGACCGCGACAAATATTGAAACTTAAATACAGTGAAATGCGCTTAAGGCGCGTTGTTAGGTGCGAAGAGAGGAAGTAACGATATGGTCAACGCGCACGTTAATTTATGACCGAAGACATTACTTCCTGGAAACTAGCGTGAAGTTTAAACGTTACTTCTACATTTTCTGCGACAGTTAGATACCTTTTCCTGAAAATGATCTAAATTGCAAATTTGAATTTGCAAGAAATAAAAATTGTCTTTAATTAAATTCAGATTTTTTAAATTGGTTGCTCTCTCTCTCGATTTATTTGAAATATTAGCGTAAAAACAACACGCGATTATACTTACAATTTATTTGCGTTATACGTGCGATTCACCATTTGTAATGTTTCCATAGTGGCAACTATTCGTAAATGTTTCGAATAAACGATCCATTTGCTCGCTGCGAAGTTTACTCTCACGTTTGATGCACGCTGCGCCGGATAATTGAAACGATCAATCAAGCACCTGAGAAAAGGAGGGTAAACTCACGCGTGCACAAACTGCTCCATAGGTCGCGTTCACGCAAAAGGGGAAGTGCGCGATCACACCTCGACTGCGAGCGGTTAAAACCGCATTTTCGTTTACGTCATACTGAAAATAATATTTTATAGAAGCATTTCTTGCGTGTATGTTCAAAGTATCAAACTCGAAATACATGAAGAGAATTTTTCAACACATCATTTTACATCAAATTTGTCTATTTATCTATTTATCAAATTTATCTTCTTTCTGGTTTCTTCCCTCGAATATTTTAATAATATAGGATTCTTGAATAATTTTTTAAAAATATTTAAATTTCTCTATAACTCCTTATTTCAACGAATCATAAATAAATAATTTTTGTGTATACACTTTTATCTGATTTTGCGACCATGATACCATTAATAATCGCGTGAGAAACGTTTATTTCAGTCGGTAGGACGAGACGCAAGGATTCTTTCGAAACTGCGCGATTAATTTTCAGTAAGCTCGGCGTATAACTGGCCGCTTTTGGTGTGTGTACAGATATAGCCACTCTCGCGAGATATTAGACAGGTGAGCGCGTTCCCAGGGGAACAAAGGTCCCATTACCCTGTCTTACCACCTCGACCCGGGCGGACGTTCCGCCAGACCCTTCGCTCTTGAAACATTCATAAGAGCGTTGTAAGTGGTTTTTAATAAACGTATTTAATCATGAGTGTCGGATTACGCGTAAATCGGTGGGCGCTATCACCACAATCGAGGGGGATTAGTCATGAATCTAAACAGATGTTCGAACAACCCGCTTTTAGCAGGTATGCGGGTGTTCTTTCGATTTTTATGCCAGTAAGTTTATTCATTTTTTTATATGTCTCTATATTTTCGATTAATCAATTTATTAAATGCTATTTTGTTAACTATTGAATATTCAAACTGAAAAATTATTAATAACTAAATTTACATGCGCATGATATTTTTTTGCGGATATATAAAACTGTAAATCAAACTGTAGCAAATCTAAGAGACATTACGGTTAAAGCAATTATTCCAAGCAAACGAGACAATGATTACGTGAGCGTGTCGTCTTCTCGTCAGTCACAGTTGTCCTCGTGTTTCAGCAACAACTCTCGTGGCACAACTGAAATGGCATTAAAAATTTTGTCAGAATACTGTGAAAAACGCTTATTACGAATATATACATTTTATATATTTTTATATTTCTTCGTAATTTGTTTCTTTTTAATTGCGACATCGGCGCAGGAATGCTTTGACGATGGCAATGAATTTTGTATCAATCAAGATGATATACTTTCTGTGGATCTTTTACCTGGTTCGTTTTTGTTTAATGATCAATATCAAAACAATAATGTTTCCAAGTCAGTGACAAATGAAACCGTGGATGGATCTTACAATAAAGCGTTAAATCAAATGGATTATCATAGGTAAGAATTTGAAATAATTTGGTCAAAAAGTTAACAAAGTAAAAATTATGTTATGTTTAATTAATCATCTATAATTAATTGTTATATAAAATTAGAAAAAGAATGAATGAGTATCTTTGTCACGGTTATATGGCGGAAGAAATCTTCAAGGAAGTGAGCACTCCTAGAGTGAAACGACGTCCTGAATCTTTGCCACACGATAACGTACATAACTTTATAGACAATGTTACAATACACGATAAACTTTTGGCGGACGAAGGAAGTTCGAAGTATAAAAATTGGCTTCAAAGGTAATATTAAGAATTTAAAAAATTTTTTAATAGTCTACACAACTATATCAATTATAAAAAATTAACCAATATTTTATCTCAACTATATTATAACAATTAATATTCATAGTTTTACATTACAAACGGCAAATTTATTAAATATATTTTATTCATAAAATATTTTGTTACAAACTTTTCATTAATTAAGATTTATTTTTCTTTAACAAATATTTAGACTTTCTAATTTTTAATATAAAATAGTTTTAAAAATTAAACTTTTATTAAACTTTAATTAAAACCTCATTAAAATTTAATTAAAAATATTTTTAAGACATGAATACTATATAATATATTATAGAGATATCTTGATTATAAAAATTACAATTATTTATTAATATTCTGGTGTATTCTACAAAATACTATACAGTAATATAAAAATCTATCCAAATTTGACTTATTTTAAAACAGAACGACAACGTTAGATGATATCTATCGACACTATGCACCCCATAAAAAATTAAAAAAGAAACAGGATGTCCGGGAAGATGACATTGATGAGTTCGATGGTGATGTGACAGGATTCGCGATGCAAGCTCCTGCAAAAATGGGTTTCTACAGACCATCTCATGAAGGTATAAATTCCAGAAGCTATTGCGCATTTGATATTTATATATTTCATGAATAGGTGACAGGTCGTCGTCGTCGTCGGAGCATTCTTACCATTATGGACCTACATTCGGTCACCATCATAGCGACTATGGACACCATAGCGATCATTTCTTTCCATCGATCCACGAGGAATACTATTACGGACATGATGAAGAAGATCATAAGCCCTCCTATTCCAAGGGAAAGGAGCTTTCGATCAAAGATTTTTTCGAAATCGCGCTCACCGCACTTGCATTCTTAGCTTTCGGTCTGTTTATCATTCATCTGCTGCTAAATGCCACGGTATTAAGACTATCTCGTGTGAAAAATATTTGTCAATTATTTCAAAAGTGTTTTTATTTCAATGAAAATGTTTATTAAAAGGATGTTCACACGATTTTTTGATGATACATTTTGACACGAATGTTTCTTACATCATAGAGCAACAGTGGCATGATGATGACTACTAGACGTGCCAAGAGAAACGCACTTCCTCTTTCTTTATCCTCCACTAGCAACGAGGATTTGAATGACCTATCTTATCGCGTTCTAAGATCCATCGAAGCAATTATGATCGCCGAAGAAGACTCTGGCAATTGTCTGCGCAGAATATTGTGCGAAGAAAATCAATATTCGAAGGAAACCAACGACGGTCGTAGAATTTGGGTTCCCGTTTGGAGGTAATAAAGTATAACGGCAATTATCAGTGGATTTCGAAAAACAAAATAAGATAGAAATTTACCATCGAATCTCGCAAATTAATCAACGCAGTTATCATATCAATGGTCGGCGAAGTATTTGAAGTTGTTTCTCGAAACCGATAATGTTGAGATTCTTCTTTCCAGCTTGGGCATGAGTTGGTTATCAGGCAGAGTTCTACATAGGACTCCATGGTCGGCAATGTTGGATTCTGTGAAAGCATCCATTCTAGGCTTGGGCGGAATAGATTGTGCCTCTTTTTACCCAGGATGTGATCTCGAGAAAGAAAGGATTGAAAGACGTCGCAGGAGAAAGAAATAAAAATATGAACGATGTTTTGCAAGATTTTACAAAGCTAAAAATAAAAATATATTATGAGGGATCTTGCACTCTATATTTATAAATAATTACAATAACGATTCTATAAATAATATATGTTTTCTCTTTTACAATAATATATATATATATATATATATATATATATATATATAGCACAACATAGTATTTATCAGTATTTAGTAATTTATTATTGTTTATCGTCGACGTCGTCTTGAGTAATACATGAATCATGAGAATTACGTGGAATGCGTAAAAGTGTAGCATACATAGATCCACTAGGACATACGTGGAAAACGTTTCTATCACCTCTGTCTTTCAATGGTTGACAATTTGTCAAAATTGGCATATTACGTTCATCATATAGTGTGCGAAATTCCGCGACCTTAAAAAATAAAACCAATTTTACTATAAGATTAATTACATGACAAGACTGATTATATGGCGATTTTATTTATTAATCGTTGATTGTCAATCCGCTTACTTGCTCGATGGATATTCCCAATGGTTCTCTGCTTATTAGCCAAAGTATGCTATTTTTTATATTTGTCATCGTTATGGAGCCCCAATAAATGAAGTAATCACGTTGAAAGCATCGCATAATGTTCGTTATGGAAAAAGGCATTAAACGGACGGAAGATCGAGCCGTTTGGACGAAAGATAATGCTTTTATGATATCATTCAAAAGTGGATTAGGAGATACCTGAAGCTATATATAATATTATTATTCCTCTGCTCTCTCAAAACTATACATATATTATTTTTATTATATAAACAGCTATTTCTGTACTAATTTTAAAATGTAAAAGAAAATAACACTTACAGAAAATAGTTTAATACAAAATTTGTATTATATATTATACAAACATTATATATAATTAAATGTTTTTTGAATATAAAAATGTTTTTTTAATACCTGAAAAAAATATACTAAAATAGTAACTCCACCATTTTGACGAAGAGCCGCTACTTGAGTCTCATAATCACTTTTATAATGCACCGCGTGCAGCTCCATTGGCATGCTATATTGACAAGTGTGTTTAAATAAAATAATTTAATAAGTAATTCACTAAGTAAGTCACTAACTGACGGTAAAAGTAAAACCTTCCACCGTCGACATGGTGTCCGCTACCGTCCATATCGGTTTTACCCCAATGAAAATGGAGCTGCGAAAAGATATAATTACCGACGAAAGGACCGCCACACAAATACGGCTCTTCTGCATGCCATGTTGCGCTAAGAATCACTATTAACAATAAATATAATTGCAATATCTTTCTAGAAATAATTCGATACATAAACAAATCGAGCTGTAAACCTAACCAGTATAGCCGGTGTTGGTAAGCTTCACTTTCTTCGGCGTGACATTGTAATTGAACCATTGTATAGGATTAAGTTTCACAATTTTCATGTAACTGATATTCAAATTAATTGGTGATTCTAGCTTGCCATCGGTTTTAGCTAATTGTTGTATGAAACTAACCGTTTCATTGCTATCGTCAATATCTAAAAAATACAGAAAGAGATATTTGACAATAAAAATATTTTAATTGTATAAAAGAAATATCATTTCAATTTATATATATCAAACCTGTTGAAGAACTCATGCCAATATATTATATTACCGTATGTCATTAATTGATAACTTTTTATGCAGTCTATGCCTAAGCTTAAAACATAATCATAATATATCGACTTTGCTCACACTTCAATCCATCAATATTATTCATGTCATCGATAATAAGTATCATCAAGTACTTTTTGTGTATACTTTAAAATTAAAACGAAATAATTTGTATGAAGAGAAAAGAAATATGTAATATTTATAGTTGAGAATAATATACCAAAAATAAGATAATTTGTTTAGATTCTCATTAATGTATGAGAATAAAATCGGATGTAAAATAATACATGCTGTTACAAATGGACTTTGCGCGGAAAATCGGTAAATCTAACGAGCCTCGAGTCTGGAAAAGGACTCGTCAACCACTTATAAAGACCAAGGATGTCCTCTTTTCTGAGAATATATTAGTTTCTGAAGATCGTCGTTTTGTAAATTGGAAAAAGTGGCTCGCCGATCGAAAGAAGCAAAATCGTCGCATCGAGGCTGTTACCGGTCGCTCGCAAGTCGATCAACTGCAAAGTTCCTCGGATAGATTTCGCGCTTTTGTCGAGATGAAAAATTTAATGGAGAACGCGGCTATACCGGTACCTATAATCGGCGATAAATATCGCGGTGGTCCGGAATTTTGGCGAACGCCCGAATTTTTGCCGGATCGCGACGCTTGTCACTTACCCAAAATATCTTTGGCTCCAACTAGAAAAGACCTAAATCTTCCTCTTGATTTAATGCACGTTGGATTGCCGGATTTAATAGCGAAGGAGCGAGATCTTACCGCGTTGAAAACCAAGGAAGAATCCTGGAAACGTAACGAATATCTGAAGACGCGTAAACTCGAGCTGGCTGAGGAAATCGCATTGTTGTTACCGAAAGAACCGGAAACAGCAGCGTTGATCGTTCAAGGACACGCCTTTCGAAAGAAGAAAAAAAGAAAACCACTATTACGAATTCCCCCGATAACTATCACGGAGCCCGATGATGATGAGGAGTCACGCGAAGATGCTGATCAGACGGTAATCCTGAAGATCCAAGAATGTGAATTCATCTGGCGAAAATCTCTCTTCGAGCCGGTGGACACCGATCCCATCACGTGGTCTCTAATTTTCGCGAGTGAGATTGATGAGTTAGTCGAAAAAGAAATAGTCCTCGAGAACAAAGGAACCCGTGTTATCGTATATCATTGGCGAGATTCACCCTTTCGATCGAACAGTGTATCTTGCGAGATACGCGGCAGTCCATTCTTCTTTAACAAAACGAAAGGTCTGATACTTCCTGGGCAGATCGTAAAAATCAAAATATGGTTTCGATCGAGAACACGAGCAGTCTTCACTGAATCCTGGCGATTCGTCACAGAACCGAAATTGAGTCCCTCGACATTCATATTTCGTTTCTGGGGCTCAGCAAGCGACAGTCGGAGCACAGAACTGATCGATCATCGAGCGATTGACGAACATTTGGATCGTCGCATTTGTGATTCGACGATACGCTCGATCGTCGAGGAAATTTTGACCAACGTAGAAAATTACGAATTACCAGAGCCTGCTTACAAGACATTACTTTCGCAAGGCGACCTCTTTACCACTCTAAATCCTTGTTATTATTATCATCCAAGTATTGTGATGCAATTGCAGAAAATGTTTTGCGACGTTATTAATAAAAATTCGTCGTCCTGGAACTTGTCGCTGAATACTCTGCGAGATATGCTTTTACAAGTAGAGGATACAAATGATAAATGCGACATGCTCGCCCGGTTCAACGATCTTTGCAAGCAAAGTCTCAGACCCAGTTTGATAGAATTTGATTTCGCTCGTAAGAATAAATATGACGTTGTGTATAATATCTTATGCGCTTTCGCGAATCGTTTTGAAGATGAGAGTGAACTCGTGAAAAAGAACAGTTTAATACGAGAAGAGTCTACAATAAAAATAGACCAACAAGAATCAATGCTTTTGTCACAAAGATCCAATAAAAATCTCTTCCATAGAGAAAAGTCAATCGATCAAATAGAAACGTTAGTGCAGGAAGGAAAGGAAAGTTACGATTTAAATTTACAACCTTATAGAGAAATCTTTTTTATTCGTATATATAAAGCTTTGGAAGAAGCAATAGAACGAGCTTGCGCCAGTATCGATTCTTTTAATAAGCTTAATGAGTTTAAGGAGCACAAATATAACGCAGATAATAATTTTCACAATGTAGAAATAATATAAATTAACAAATTTAATAAATATAAAATATTAATTTAATATTATATTTTTATAATGAATTAATAGATTATTACATATTATTGTGTAAGTTCGAAACTTTGAAGATTTTTTCAGCTAGTTTGTTGTATAAAGTTATAAATATATTATAAAATGTTATAAAAAGTTAAACATTTTTTAAATTTAATGTAATTCATTACATTAAAGGGAAGATATAAATTTTTAAGAGATGGCTAGAAATATGCGTCGTCCTCGTAAAAGTTGAACATCTCTCCAATTCGATTTTATGAATTCACCTTTCTTATTCTTCAGCTTTCGAAATTCATTAAGCTGTAAAATTTATTAATACATTTTTATAGATGTGTCTATTTTTATATTAAAAAAAAGCTTTTATTATAAGTCTACTAATATTAATTTTTTTTTTCAAATATCGATCAATTATAATTATTTTACAAAACTTATTGTTAAATGAATATTTAGCTTTATATTTTACACTTACTTGGTGAGATTGAATAGGAATAATAACTGGAAATACGATCCACGTAACACATTCCCAATAAGGTTCCTCTGTTTTGGATCCTTGATAAGTATAATAACTTGAACAATTTGTTGCTATTCGCATCCAAGATAAAGAGTCTAAAAATTAAAAAAGTATAGCATCAGGTTTAAAATAATAATAATATAATACATAATACATTTTTTATTCTTCAAATATTAACTTGGTGGAATATTTATTTCTGAGCCAGCATTTTGAATGTATTGCAAATTTTCAGAGATTCTATCAAACTTGACATTATTGCATTGACAAGACTGAACCTGTAAGACAAGTTTATTAATAGCACGTGAAACATGAGAGATATAATTACATATTAATAATTATACCAAAAATAAAAAAGCCAGCACGCAAAGACCATCTCGGTGTTTTAAGCATTCTTCAAAAGTGAGATATTTCCGGTTCCAATGTATTACGTGACATTCCATGGAAAACCTACGTTTATTTACATAAGATTTTTACGAACAATAATTTGTCAATTTTTATAATCACGGTTAAATATTACATTCTTACCAAGTACCATTGATCGTGTGTTCAGCACCCCTACAATTATCCTCGCCCCAATGAAAGTGAGCATTGTAAAATTCGTACTCATCATTTAAGAGCGGGCCTCCAGATATTGTTGATGGAATTCTATCACCGCTCAAAAAAATTTTCGCTAATAAGCAAGGATTTTTATACTCAATTGTATTTTACAAGACCATAACAAAATGTACGTGTGAAACAAATTAAGTCACCTGTATTGCCGTCGTTAAATAAAGTGGCAATTCCATCTTTTAACCAATGACCATTTAAGATTAACGGTGGAAATCTCTTAGGTTGTACAATTTTGTCAATTAAATCGATCGGTGATTGACCATTTTTTGTAAATCTTAAAAAGAGGTATAATATAAACGTACAATTTAAAAATTATAAAGTACAGTACATATAACCTTCTAAGATCATGTCATTATCTCCTATATTTCTTTACTTACCTATAACTTTTGTAGAATTCGTCATTATTGTATAGTAATTAAGAATTATTTAGTCATATATAACTACAAAATATTTTTTGTACAAAATATAAATGCATTTTAAAATTATACGTTTTATTTAGTTACATTTTATAATTTAACATCTTTGAAGTTAGTTAATTAATACAAATTACAAAATCTCGAAATCTTAACACAAAGATGTTTTAAATATATTTACAGATATTGAGTGCATTATTTTTTATATGCATATACCTTTATTTATATTTTATAATCAGATAAACATACGTAATGAAAAAGGAATCTTTTTTAAAATAAATTTTTTATATATTTCGTGTAATAATTTCTTTGATAGATAGATAATAATATTTTTGACAGTTTAAATATTATATTACATGGACATCACTCATTTGTGGCAAAGAAAATTCTTCTGCCCCGAAGAAGGTGTTGTGATCTATAATTTCTTACTATACGTTCAAATTTATGATTGTAAAGATCTCGAAATGCTTCTATCTGTTGATAAATAAATTGTATAAATTAATAATTTATTTATACACAACTACAGTATATGTGTATATAATTTTCAATGTTTGATAAGTTTCGAATACTTGATTGGAAGATATTCTTATCGCGTTCGGCACAATTATCCACGTAACGCATTCATTATACGGAGGAAAAGTGAGGGACCCTGAATAAGTGTAATATCCAGACCACATGCATGCGTGCATCATCCAACGTAAACAATCTATAACATGTGATTTCATAATTAATTAACAAGTATTAATATGTATTATAATTTCGAAATTTTCATTTATGGAAATTGAAAAATATATGCTATCGAAAGTATATTATAAAAGGAATAAAAATATAAAAATTTGCCAAATTTTTTAAAAAATATTAAAATATGAGAAAAAAACTGCTTTATATTACGCAATCTATTAGTCTACAATTGATCAATTTGATATATTGATATATTGATTAAAGAGATTGTGACAAATTGTAGGATTACCAGGTGTAATATTCACGCTGCTATTCGGTCGTTTTATTTTCACGAGTTTATCGGTAATTGGAGCAAATGCAGGATTATCCGGAAGTTCAGAACAGCCAACGACCTTTTTTATTACAAATGTACATATACATATTTCTTATAAATATATCATTTATATTTTATAAATGCAGTGCGATAACCCAATAAAACAATTATTATCGAGTGATCGGCAATTTATCTCGAAAATAAGAATATTGATATTTACTTAATTATTTATCTTCGCACTATTATACCTGCATTATTATACCTGCATGAGATAAGAGACTATTGCAATTCCATCAGATTTATCGTAGCATTTTTCTATCGATCCGTAACGCGTATTCCAATGCATAACTTGTGCCTCCATTGAATACCTTATTAAACACATATCATTTAAAAATTATATTAATTAATATTAATTGAATAATAGTAAATTCATGAAAGCTGAAATGATATTTTTTTATTCTTTCATATAGTTATTAATTTTTAACATTAAATAGTCCTCTATCTAACCAAATGTTGTCGATAGAATGTTCTGCGCCCCGACAATTAGACGGACCCCAGCGAAATTGTACGTTTATAAACTGAAATTCTTCATCTTTCAAAGGACCGCCGCGCATTATCGGCATATTTCTATTCGTCAGCTCGAGATTAACTATAAATTAATAAAAAATTATTAAATTAAATTTTATAAATTATATATTTTATAGCAATTCTTAACTTTGCACTAAATATAAAAAAATAACCTGTTTGGCCGGTGTTAGTAAGCATTGCTGTACCAACGTTTGAACAATAATTGGTCAAAAGCAATGCAGGATATTTATTAGTCCACACGTTGACGCGACTAATATCGATTGGAGATTGTTGCCATTTCGGTAAACCCGAAGATGATGTTGTGCACAATTTTTCTTTTTGTAAAACACGATTAAAGTGAAGAGTTTATAAAATAAAACTTAAATATATATTAAGTAGAAAACTAGCTAATAAAATAAAATAAAGTAACCAATTTTTTTAAGAGAAATTGAGAGAAAGATTTATTTACGTGATCATGCACCTTTGGATTTGGATGTCATTTTGATATTATAATTATAACATCTAGCTGAATGAAAAATATAAGAAATAAAGAAGATTCATTATTTTCAAGTGAGACATTATTTTTTATATAAACATTACAATCATTTTGATGACATTTTTATAAACAGGTGTGTGACAGAAGTACTTATACCACAACCAATCTATAGTACAATAAGAAGTTGCTAACGCATTAATTTGCAAATATGCATTGCGATGCTAATGATCACGTTGTTTTTTTTTTGAAAAAATATAGGTTTACCTTCACATTAGATTTGCGAATTGAAGTACGCTTTATCGATTCTCATAAATTATCATTTGACGTGTTTTACATTATATTTTTTATATTTTTATAAGTAGCTTTAAAATAAGTATTATACATTTATCATGAAGTGCTGAGCGAAATCTCGCGTAGATCTTTTGTCTATGCATAAAAATTTGTTATGCCGAACATTTTACATACGAAGACAGATTTGAAATTTTCTAACCCAAGGTTTTCAAGTGACACATTATTATAAAAATGTTGGGCTTTTCGTTAACGGAATGTATGATTTTGTGTAGCGGTGTTGTTCTCATGCGTAAGCATCCCAAAAAGATACATATGCGCATATATTCATGTATCCGTGAATCTGAAAATTTACTTCTAGTGTTGAATATCTATCTTTATACTGTTATAATATAATATCATTTATTCTAGTCTTGGACTTTTCGTTAACAGAATGTATGATTTTGTGTAGCAGTGTTGCTCTCATGCGTAAGCATCCCAAAAAGATACATATGCGCATACATTCATGTACATTTGTGAATCTAAAAATTTACTTCTAGTGTTGAATATCCATCTTTATACTGTTATAGTATAATATCATTTATTCTAGTCTTATTATTGAGTGAAATTTGGAATTGGACACAATTCTGCTCATTGATTGGAAACGATTTCCATCTACCCGTTTTCTCATTTGGATATGCTCATCAAAATGGTCCTCATACTTGGAAGGACCTATATCCCCAAAGTACCGGTAGCAATCAATCGCCAATCAATATCATCACTAGACTTGCCGTAGTAGTCCAACCACCAGAGCCACTTCGATGGAGCAATTATAATAGCGAACCCTTATCGATGACTATTATAAACGACGGTCATTTTGGTAGATTTGATTAAATTTTCTACAATTGAGAAAATAAATTAAAATAAATCTTGATGATAAATCTTCAATATTTTTATAACGCACAATAATAGTATAAAATAAAAGAGACTAATTAAAATGATGTAAGATCTTTCCATCTTAAATTATCGTTTTCCATTAATATATACAGTGAAGCTCCGAGGATCTTGGGCCAATATTAAGCGGCCGCAGCTTCAAGGGGACCTTTGACCGATACGTATGATTTTTTTCAAGTTATCTTTCACTGGGGTCCGTCCAACGAAGAGGGCAGTGAACATACCTTGGACTATGTTCGTTATCCTATGGAGCTACAAATCGTTCATACTAAACGTGGAATTAAAACGCCATTGGATGCAATCGCCCTTGGAGCGAAAGACGGAATAGCGATTGTTTCATTTTTCCTTCAAGTATAATTTTTGATCAAGAAATAAAATTAATATCTCATCATAAATATAACTTATATACGCATCATAGATAAATAATACGGATAATCCCTATCTGGATCATATTGTGAGAAATTTAAGGCGTATTACCCAACCGCAAAGTATAGTCCACATACCTCCTTTTCCATTGGAATGGGTTTTTTCACCTTTCGACAGAAATTATTATACATACAGTGGTTCTATCAGCTATCCTCCTTGCAGTGAAATCGTTACATGGATCATTCAACAAGAACCAATTGCCATATCTACATCGCAGGTCTAGTAATTTGTAAAATATCTGTTTATCAATCAGATATTTGTCGTTTTACATTGTCATTAGTATGAATCATCTTTCATTATAGGTTGAACAATTTCGGAAACTATGTTCAACGGATGGACCGTTACTTCTGAATTGTCGACCGGTTCAATCGCTAAACGATCGCGATGTTTACTTTTATGAGCAGACTTTATCGTAAAATGAACAATAAAGAAAGCTTTTTTATTCCATATTTATTTGATCAAAATATTTACGTAATCAAGCATATTCGAAAATCTCACTTCTTTATTTATGTATTAATTTTAATAAATATATATGTAATTGATGTCAAATTAATTCACGTTGATAATATCCTATTTATGTACACACACACATATGTAAAATTATCGTCAACATGCCCATTGCAATGTACGAGTTGCTTAATTTGAGAAATATAAATATAACTTTCAAACGATAAACATTTTTATAAAATACAGATATAAATTGGTATATTTCTTATATAGTTCGTAAAAATATGTAAAATCAGTAACGAGTTTACACAGAGAACAACATTTTTTTATTAGCATTAAAGTGCGTTCTATAAACACGTAGGACATCTCTTGCTTGATTGTTTTGAGAAAATAAAAATATATTAAAATTTTTGTGTCACTCATTATACAATAAAAATTCTTTTGGCACAAGTTATTATAATACATTCTTCCAAAATTAGCATCAAAGAAAGAAGCATTCGTTTAGTTAAAGAATATATATGACGCATTCTTTATATATAGATATAATGTATTCATATATGTATCCCCATTTTCTAAAATGGATGCTAAAATATATATCTATATATGTATATACTAATCTAACATACACGATTATAAGAAGTTATTGGAGCCGATTGATATATCACTTTAAGTTTTGAAATCACAGGAAGAGATTTTGGTATCATTTTAAATATTGATTATTTTTAGAATATATATAAATATATAAAATTGAACAATGTTACATAAAATATATATATGCATATTAAGAATAAAAGAAATCTTATTTATCTTTTTCAAGTCAATATGTGTATTGTATATATTTAAAAATTTAGGCTATCCAGCAAACAAAATACTTAAAAAATTTATACATTATAACACGTTATATAATTTTAATATATTTTTCAATAAAATATTTTAAATTGCGGTTAAAAAATTTGTCAATAGTGATAATATCACAATCAGTCCCAGTTCTTCTACATACATTCGCGCACAAGTCATCTCATTTGTCGAAAATTATTTTCTAAAAAATGCATATACAACTTTGTGCGAAAAATTATTTTGTTGTCTTGAATTAGGTAAATTTTTCAGAAAGGAAAAAGGATTCGAAATTTCTCACGTACGCAACGCATATACTCGAATCTTATTATCTGCACTGGCAGGTGTATTTACAAGACGACAAGATATCGCGAATAACAATTCGCGTTGTTGGTCGATCTTCGGTGACAATCGTCGTAAGTTCCAAGCGAAGTATCATCGTAACATCGCGATTTGTTATTCGGATTGAACACGACAAAGATGCGTATTGTATATGTATTGTATATGTACATCAGAGTGTATTGGTCACATATTATTGCTGACTTCCAGCAAAACACGCGCAAGGGAATGATCCAAAAATAAAACTTACGCACTTATCATTATCTCGTTTGATCGGACACTTCACGTAAAACAGAGCAAGATTTCTTTCCTAGTCGCAGTTCTGCAAGTTTTTTCACATCATTGCCGTTGATTCACATAACTCGAAACAGATATCGAAAATATTCACGGATGATAGTACACGAAGATATGAAAATGAAAATGTTTCCTCTTTCTCAATGAGAAGAATGAGCGTGCCACGACATTCTTTTCACCTCATTGAGACTACGCACTATGGATCATTCATCCTGCATATCCCTTATCATTCGACAGAGGAAGGCGGACGTTATTATTCCGAATGTCTGAAATACATTTTTATGATTATTTCAGTCTCATTAAATATTTAAAATAAAAAGGAGAAAGTTTTCTAAGATGAAAAATGCAATAAATTTATTATTTGAAGAGGATACAGAATAGTGTTCTTTTAAATGAAACTTGTGATCAACTATATAACTTTTGCAAAAAAACACTATAAAATCCGAAAATTGAAACTTTTCTTAGATCATAAAGTTTCGACTTCAAAAGACAATTCCAAGAATAATACATTCTTCTGAATCTTTCTTCTCTGAGTTCTGTCTTCAAAATTTTTCTCGAGATAATTTATAAAAAGATAGTACCTGTATTCCTGCCATTGCCATATCGAGAAACACCAATGTTAAACTTTCGCACTGCAGCCAATTTGTGACTTTTTCAAGGCAGCCCTAGAAATGCATTGTGTCAATTGAAATAGTTATTTGAATAGATATGAAACGATGATAGTTTTATGATACAAAATGTACCTCTTTGTGTCTGTATCCATCGTGACCCTCTTCATTTATTTCCTGACACGCGGCCTCATCCTTCGGCAGTGGATGAAGCCACGGTTTCTCATTCTATCAGTAACAAAGAATTACTCAGAAATAAAATTCAAGCATTTATTTTATTACTGATGTTTTACTCACAGTTTTGTGAAACACCCTCGAAACGACGCTCATCGGACTGCCTGTATTCTTATTCTGTAAAACAGAAACTTTTTTACTCTATGCGATTTTATTAATAAATTTATAAATTATAATAAATTTTAATTAGACATCTAAAATAGACAATGTGAGAAATGAGATATGATGAATATTTTGTAAACCTAAAAGTTAAAATTATTTTAAAAAAATGAAAATATTAATTTATATAAAATGACTTGTTTCAAACGAGATGTCTAGAGATAATAATGTCGCATAACATTTATGGACTTGTGTTTGCACATTCAAAACATATTTTATTAGCTATCTCAATTTTCTTTTAAAGATTCGTCATTCAATAAAAAAATATTATACTAAGAACAACCAATTCAATTGCATAAGATACCTCAGAATTTTTGAGAACACAACATGTGAGGGGAACCTGCCTCCTGGTCCCTGAGATTTGACCGTCCCTCCACCAAGCTGTGCCATTATAATCATTGTCGCCATGAATTCCGCAGCAATTAAACTGCAATGGAATCACCCATGTGCTCTTCGAACCATCACGAAATGTCTCGTCGGGCAAACGATTTCTGACAAAGCATCGCATGCAACCTTGTCATGCATGAAACATAATTTACAAGCACGGTTCCGCACGTAATACATGCTGCAGGAAAAAAAAAGAATCGAGACACAGACATCTTTCAACAGAACATTGAATAAAAAAGGTATCGCATTATCATTTTCCTCACTTGTCGTGCACAGAAATGATTACGACATATGAGATCTTCAGCGAAAATAAATCCAGAATAAGATGAAAATCTTGATCACCACAAGATACATAAAAAGTAAATATTCATATCAAAATCGTAGAGGAAAATCGTACAAGAGATAGATTAAGCGAGAAATTCATATTCAATCAAAATCAGAAAAGAACGATGTAACGAAAAACATGAACGACTTTTCGAAAAAAAAAACATATTGTATAGAGCTCGAAGATGAGCATTCAATTGAAATCAACCCTCTTAATGCGACACCTTGTACTGCGCAAAGTCCAAGCTATGGCTGAAGGAGACATCGCTGGTCTTATCGTGACCATACTCCGTCGCCAGTTTGTTGGTGAATCTCTTCTCCAGATTCGACAAGATCTGGAAAGTCGTCAACCCACCAATGGCCGCCGACACCAATTCCATGACGATAAGCACGACCAGCATGCTCATGTACTGCGAAAAAAGGAACGAAAGGCGATAAAAGCGTCGCCGTCCTTCACCCTCGACATAGTCTATAACGGTACACGGCGCCGTTACGAGCTAATAAAAATGTCATTTTACTCACGATGGCGAGGACGCATTGATTTCCGCGTAGAGCAGCGCGACAGCCGACGAAGCCAGCCATAAGCACCATGCCACCGAGGCAGAGAAGGCTGTAAGCCATGTAATTAATAGTTTCGTACGGCTCGACCGTAGATACGAAAAGATTGAGAATGTGCCCCTTGCTGGGCTCCAAAAGCAACCAGGCACCTATACCGAGCACCGTGCAGCCAGTTAGCTGTCAAAAACAAAAAAAATTGCACGGTGATTCCTCGTTTCCTCCCTTATCGCGACGCGCTCTCACGTAGGCCAATAATTTTGCATCGTAGGAGATCGTTATCCTAAATAACAATAATGACGTTTAAGTAATGTCGAGCCTTTTTTTTGAAGTTATAAAATCTATTCGGACGTTGATCCGACGATACAAAAATTCGAAGGATGATTGTTTTCTTTGGAGTGCAAACAGAAGAAATATTTATAGGTCGAGCACCAACATAAGTTGTAGGCACGTGTCGCTATTTCTAGACTCGGTTTATAATGTTATAACGTATATTGCGTATTATTTACCCATATTGATAGATTGAATATAAATAACGCGATTTTCAAGTATTTCATGTTTGTTATCCTTGACCCTCCAATTAGTCATCAATCTGCAAATAAACAATAACAATGCGTGTGACCAGGATATGAGTTTAAGTACATAATATTAATTTATCATACAAATATTAAACTTTTCGATTATTATGTATATCTTTATCATTTGTATCGTTTTAAGCATATTAACACGTAAAGGTAATGCAAAATAAATTATCTACGTACCAACAGCATTTAAATATCGATTTATGCATGCAATGTATCTTTCTTTTAAAAGTGTTTATAAACATATTTTATTCTTTTGATTTTTATAAAATTTGATAGGTAATTTTTTAAATTGTAAAACCTTTTTATTGCAAATTTATCAAAGCTTTCCTACAAGAAATATTTGTTCTATTATTTCCGACGCAACTTCCAATATAACGTTGAAAGGATCAAATAAAAAAAACGTTCTTGAATTTTTAATTTAGATGTTAGCAAAAATAATTAGATTACCCGATATTGATTATTATTTTTTCTATTATTAAAATTGTAAGGGAACATTTTTAAAAATGATTTATTATCTAAGTTATTTAATTCTCATCTTCATTGACAGCTAATACATACTTCGCATCACATTTACGATGTAGAATTTTTTATTTACGAATCACAGAGAATTGTATAAGGTTCTCTCATAGAGGATTACATTAAAAACAAATCGTTAAACTATAAAAAAAAATCTCGCTATGGAAGAGAGAGCAAAACCTTGATGATAATAAAATCGTATACGCAGGCATTACCTGTCAGTAGCGAGGTAGCTTATTCTACTCGACGTCAGTCGTGCTCTCGATTATTCCCACTGAACACTTTTGCATATATAACTCTGCCGCACGATTACACAGTCGCGCGTTTTGCAAAAAACGCCACACAGTTATAAATACAAAAATCACAAGATGCACAGATGCACAGATTAGATCCGTAATCCTCGAAGATCATCGCTGTCTCGAAACGCGGTTTCTAAGCCGGTTCACAGATGGTTCGCGATCTCCGCGATGCTCCGATATGTCATCACTCTCTGGACGATCGCTCCCAACACACTCCTATCTCCTGACGTTACAATCTGCGGGATATTCGAGAACGACACTCGGGACGCCGTAAATTGCGACGAGAGCAGAGAGACGGGAAGAACGGGCCCGCTTATCACTCGTCGATTTCGGACGATCGATAGAACCTCCTCCAGCATCCAGGTACTCCCTATCCCGCGTGTCCAAAAACCCGAGTTCTCTTACTCGTTCGTTCCGTACGACGGAAGGATAAACGCGGAGCGGAATCGAAACTGACTGGAGCCTACCGCCGGATTCCGTCTGCCGCCTTTCTCACGTCCCTACGTCATCGACGCCGGTCCAGATGCGTCTGCGTGCTTTCGCCGTCGCGGCGCCGACGCTCTATCGTCAGGGGCATGGTTCATCCCTTCCGTCCCCATCACCCAGGATCCCGTCGACGCTCGGGCTCGGGGGATGTCTCATCGACGCGGTCCCGTTTTTCTTCCCTCTCGCGAACGTGAATATGTGAGTGAGCTATTTACACCGTAAAGCGGCTCAAAATATCTAATAATAAAATTGAATTAACGTTTACGTAATAACGCATACATCTTTACTAAAATGTTGCAAACCGTTAAAACATTTGCAGCAGCGTTCCCGTTTCTTCTATAGAGATTGCACAGAAAACGTATTTAATAATATCGCGATAAACTCAATTTCCTAAAGGTTCGTGGTATTTCAACTATTAATTAAATTATAAAATTATGAATTCTACAGAAAAGGAACAATTTATTGTCACACATTGCTATATATACACATGACTTGCGCGCGTGTGAAACACGAATACGAAAGATCTTATGTGGGAATTGGATGGACCTGTTAATTAAACGGAACGCGGAAGCTTGAATTAACGTTTACGTAATAGTACGTTGTTTTATGCTAAAAGGGATATACGATAAAATGTTACCTCGATAAAAAGAACTTCGTTGTATGTTATGTAAATATAATAAATTTTTATTATTAGATATTAACAATTTTTACAGAATTCGCGCTTAAATATTGTACAGCTAAAAGAAATCAACGCTATAATCGACTTGTAACACGCGTACATATACAAGTTTTTTTGTTTGTTTGTGTTTTTTTTTATTTTAATGTAAAACAACTTATATAAATTGCACGGCAGTGGATACGCCCGCTATACGACTAGAGATATGCATTCAATCAAGTCGTATCGTACTTAATTCCACTCGACGCCGTTTCACCCGACACTTTCTCGCGGATCTGTCAAATCTAATATCGAACAAAGTCAAATAGCGTCGTCGAAACTACGAGGAAATGGGCAGTTGTGTTTGATTAAAGACGCACTTTATCACGTCATTGGCATGTGACGCGCTTCTTTTTTTACCTCGCTTGTACAACAGTCGCTAATTAGAAACCGCCGATCGTGTGAACGAGAGTGAGTAGTAGTCGGAACGGAAGCGACAGCTAAATCGTTGTTCAAATTTGATAAAACACGTTCTTGCGATTTTTTTACACATACGTACATACAACGATATAATATCGTCGGTTAATTGCGATTACGATACAAATAGAATATGACATGAGCAAACATAATCGTATAAATAAACAGGTATATTATTATAGTACAAAAGTGATCGGGATCGACCCATTTACAAGATCACGAGCCGATGAGACTCGCGCAGTCGCACATACATAAATGCATTCACAAATACACTCATATAAACTTACAACCTCGTCTTCGAATCTTAAGGCTACGTATTGGACGGTTGGATCCGTAGTGGTACTTTGCTATTCTCTGTCTTTCTCCTCTCTCTTCTTCTCTGTCTATAATTAAAATGTACGTGTGCGCATAATGGTCCGCATGAATTTCCGCAGAATACGAAACATCTTCAAAGTTATTAGTCAAGACTCGATTAATGCAACGGCAACTTTCTCGCATTGTGCTTACAGTCACAATAATAATAATAATAATTTACAATGCAATCGCGACGGCGATTATTTATAATCTTCCAATTTATTAGTCTACGGAACTTGATATTGCTCCAGCTTTTAGAAAATTCAACGCTCGAGAAATAAATCAAGGAAAATGTCAATTCAGAAAGATATCCCGCACTGTCTTTCGCACGTCTCTTTCGCACGTGCGATATTTTTACGTCCTCGTTTCACGTTACCGTTGTATCTGAACGCTACATCACGCTGCTCTTTTATGGATATCACATGCGGAGTAACTCGTTCAGAATGTATTCCAGCGGGAATTCTGCGGATACATTTGCGCGTTCGCGTGAATCGGCACGAAGAATATCGATGCACATTCAGAAGATGACATATGAAGGGCAGAATATATACGTAGGAAGTCATTCAACTATTTTCCATGAGCTTTCACGTGCTCTTCATATATGGCGCTTTGGGGATTGTACATGTCAGAAAAAATATATAATATTAATTATTCTGAAGTTCGTCTTATCGCCATACGTCATATATACGTATTTCGTTGAAATTAAGTACGTTTTTATCATTTATTATTATATATGTATATAAGAGGCAGATAATTATGCATTTTATATGCATTAAATGCAAGATGACATGATGATTTCAGGCATTTTAATACTTTACAGTGTCGATAAAACTTTGATGTAAAAAAAATATTATGTCCATCACAGTCTTACTTGTATATATATGATATCAAAATTACACTGACGTTATATTAATTGATTTTTGTGTCTTCTTCGACGAGAACGTGTAATTCGGTGACAGCTTCCGGAGCCAATACGTGACTGATATTCGCGTGTCATCGAATCGTGTAACTTACAATTCCGTCGTGGTCTCTACAGGACTCTGCTCGCCCAGATACGTGAATCCGAGATGCGAGTAATCCTTCCTCTCCCTGAAGGTGACGTTGTCGTTGGACGGACTAGGATTGAGCAGATCTCCACTGTGATTGTACAAGGGATTAAGTACCGGTGTCGCGTCGCGATTGTTCAGGGTGTTCGTGTTGCTTGCGCCGTGATTCTTTCGACCCAGCGTGGATCGCCGTAGAGAATGGATATTGGTGTCGCCGTGATTGCCGGCGATGCTAGACGCGCGAGCCGTGGTCGCCGCTTCGGAGCTAACGGGACTTTGTTGGCCTTAAACGGAACACATAAGCTCGTTGCATATACTTTCGATCAGAGCGTGAGCGGTGTATTATCAAAATATATTTTTTTTATTAAGATTCTTTATTATCGCCAGTCAAAAAATTCAAGCAATAAATATTTCTCGACCAATACTGGCAATTATTTATTTAATAAATCTCACTACGTTTCGACCATAATTTTGAAAAGGACCAAACGTTGTGAAATTTATTAAATAAATGATCGCCAGTATATTGGTCGAGAAATATTTTTTTTATTCCTTTTACATAGTTTCTTATTTACCGTATAAATATTTTTAGAACGATATTATTTTATTCAAAAAAGATTTTAAATATGTGTAATTAATATATTGGGCGATTTTTAATACATTACTGGACCAGTTTTTTCTCGTATACAATTTCTATCATTTAATAATTGGATGCGATAAAAGAGACATTTGGCATATGAATTTTTAGATATTTGTTTTGAATTACCAGTGCTGTCTCCGTGATCTTTGGTGATGTAACTGACATTGTCCAGGCTGAACGCGTGATTCTTGTTGCTAAAGTCCAACTGCAAATCGTTGCAACTATCGTTGTCATCGACCGGCACGCTCATCTGAAGTACTTGCGTCTCGTACTCCTTCAGATTTGGTTCCACGTAGACGGGATCGTAACGCGGCATTACGTACATGCGTTGCATACGCTCTTTGTACGCTTTGTACCTACGTCACAAGATAATATGGAACATGAGGAACTCTTTCAAAGGAATTGCGTAAACATCCCGGAAAGATTACTTTACAGGCCAACGTCGAAGTAACAAGTGTTCGCGAAGGTAGCCAGAGCGGAAATTGCAATTAAAGCTAATAGAGATAATAAAGAGCAGTATGAATTTGCATCGCTCGCACTCGACGAGTCAAATGAATATTTACACTCGCGAAACAACTCTCTTATGCGACTGTATAATAACAGCTGAAAATCGTAATAATAGGTAAAATTGTCTCCAGAATGATATGTGTACATAGTAATTAATGCAACTGTACATAAATATAACAATTTTTCTACCGAATGAAAGCATGCAAGGAACAGGAAAGCAAGTTCACGAACCCGGACATACATTATTCTTCACACAAAAATGTTTGTGTAAAATATTTCACATTATACACATACATTAATATAGATATATATATTTTTCTTTGCAAATAATTTCTCCTATATTATATAAAACATTGATTTAATTATGTTCTTGCATTTTAGTTTCATAATTAAATTTCTGACATGTCAAAATTTTTAATAATATTTAATATTTTAATTATATTCTTGTATTATATAATTTTGTAATTAAATCTTCTGAAATGCTTGCTAAATGTATTTTATACTACTGGTAGCAAAATTATGGTAGAACTTCAGCGTTAAAATTATACGACTGAATGTAACTTACTTGGACCAAGAGACGCAAATGTAGATAATACCGGCGATACCGAGGATTAGGATAACGCAGGCAATGATGATCAGCGCGTATGGGAACACTTCGCCGCTAAATGCGACCGCAGTTTGTGTTCGCACCGGTTCAGGTGGCATCACAGGAGCGTGAATGTCGATGGCGTTCGCTCGTACTGCCGTAGACACGTCGAATGTGATGTTCGACATGGCCGACTTATCCATAATTGACCTGTCAAGTATTCGATGCTTTTAGTATTTGTCCACGATCAAATGTCACAATATAATTGAACATCATAATTGATCTTTCGATATGTGTTTGCGTGGGAACCATTCCTTCTCCACCATCAATATAAGCGGATAAATCTTTATTCGTATTTAATCAATTGAAGCTGAAAAGAAGCTAACATTTTCTGATAAACTGTCATGAAACTTATTGATTGTCTTTCTACGAACGATATAAAGCACAATGCGAAAACTATCAACACAGATTCTTACTAGAGAAATCTTTAAGAGTTCAAAAAAAATTGTTGTCCTTTATTATTATTAGCTATAATATTATATAATTTATTAATTTAATCGTTAAATTAATCGTAAAAATATTTATAATAATATTTAGAAAACTATTCTGTGCCGTTTCTAATTCTATTATAATTTACAAAAGGTCTTATAAAAGCGATAATAATATCTGTAACAAAATCTAAAAATGTACGAGGCATTGATGTATCGGAATAGACATTTACAGCGTATATATACACTGCAAGTAATAGTAAGTAGTTACATAATACTGTTCCGTAAATAACTGTGAGATAACCGTTTTAGCGTGCATAATTACAAAGACGAAGGATCTAAAGTGCCGTTACAATAAGACTTCTAAGAAGACTCTCAACATAAGCCTCTCATGAATATAAAAACCCCGAGGAAGAAATTTAATTTAACGATTTCTAAAAAAAAGATTCTATTTACGTGTATTTTAACTTGGAAAATTTTTAAACTGTTTTCTTTCAATTACCGTATACAGTATATGCGTTAGAAGACGTACCTCAACACTCCGCTGCTGTTTCTACTGAGTATTGCCTCGGTGTCCGGATCGATCGCGTAGAACCACACGTCAGAATCCTGCGGGAAGGTCTCTACGGTGCCATTTTTCGTCAGAATTTTTCTCGTCACCACCCTATCGATGCCGATCAACAGGCCGCTCTTTCGCTCGATTATATTCGCTATTTTGCCGGCCTCCTTCTGCAGCGCATCCGGCGCCGCGTCCTGCACCACCAGGATCATGAGATTCTCCTCTCCAATCAAATTAACGATGACCGGCGCGATAATCGAATTGTAATTTTCAGTCGAGTTGGGATTATCCCGCACGCGAACGTCGAATTTGAAAGGGAGCTCAGACGAATCAACGTGGTCGAACGTGACCGTCGTCCTGATTATCCCGGTGGAGCTGTCGATGGCGAAATAATCGGATCCCCGTCCTTCCAGGATCTTATACTCCAGCTTGCCGAACTTGCCGTTATCTTTGTCATGAGCCTTAACTTGAATAACTGTGGACGAGAATTGTGCGGTGCGCGGAATCGCCGCGAAATAACGTCCCCTCGTAAGCTCCTGACTCGCTTCCGGAAAAATAAATTCCGGTTTGTTGTCGTTTACATCCAGCACTTGAATCTTCACCTACGATCAAACGCATTTCGATCATTATCAAAGGCGAAATAAATGGATAATTTTATTATAACGAATTAAGTTTCTTTCAAGAAAATGTCAGCATTATTTCACTTTACATGTGTATATTTAATGTTTTATAATAAAACCTTTAAAGAAGAAAAGCAGGATAGAAATGACTTTTCTAGGCTTATGTCTGTATATTAAAATAATATTAGAGAGAATGATATCTGTAAAAAGAAAGAACTTAATCTTTTTTTATCTTTCTCATAATTGCTAATCTTTTCGTCTCTGATGTGTTTCTATATTTTAATAATTATATATATTCCATCCTATTATGATTTCATTCTATTTATAGACTTCATCCTATTTATAAATATTCATGCATTTAAAGAAGCGAAAGCGTTTCATTGTGATTCGAGAAACATCATCGCGTCTCACCATCGTCGTGTTTCTGCCCGAGTTTAATAAGCCCGAGAGGGATTCCAACTTGATCTTAATCTGGTAGGACTCCGTCGTCTCATAATCCAGAGCGCCTTTTTTCAGCCTCAGCGCGCAATTCCGCTCCTCCGTGACGTTCGCTTCGAAGAGGCCGGCCTCATTGCCGCTGTAAATCTCGCACCTAAGCGGCGTGGTGTCGTGCGCGTGACTGTTGATGATGGTGATTATCTTTATTAGCGTATTGTCACCGGCGTCCTCGGGCACCTCGACGTTGTACGAGTTCTCGGCGAAACCCAGACCGATCTCAGGTGGCACCGTCGCAACGTGACGCACGTAGACCGGCACAGTCGTCACGGATGACAGTTGCGGGTCCCCCATGTCGTACGCGCGCACGTCGACCTGTCGCAGAGGAGAAAAGAATCGCCGCGTTATTAAGGGGATCCTAATTTTATTTATTAAGGAGCTCGGACGTGCCTAAAGCAGCGCGAAAAATCCTTTCAGCCACCCCGTTTGTTAATATTAATACTTTAATATAATTTGTAACAGCTCTTTAAAAAATTTAAATCTACAAATAAAAAGGCAATAAGAGCTAATTAAGTTCTATACTAGAATTATATTTGTGAAAAGATTTATAACATAAATTATTAAATATTATACAGAAGTAAATTCGAACTTAATTAGCTCTTATTGCCTTTTTATTTGTTGATTAATACTTTAATTGTGCAAAAAGATTGATCAATCTGTATAGCCAATAAAAAGATTCATGGTCGAATTCAACTTCGCACGGTACGACGGAGCCTTAGGATTCCTTTAAGATGAATCGGAACGAGTTAGGATCACTTACCTGGTACTCCGAGTCAGTTTCTTTGCGCAAGTCGTCGCGTATTCGGAGTACGCCGGTGTCGGGATCGATCACGAAGTACTTGCTGGCGATGCCGCGCCCGATGATCTCGTATCGAATCTGCCAGACATCGAGATCGGTGAAAATTCCCCAAGACTTGACGAGAAGAAATGAAGATAAAAAATATATATATATATCTTACCTGGTTCCCTGGGGCGGTGCCGTCGGAATCCGCGGCCGTGAGATTGATCACGGTCGTTCCTATAGGGACATCGTCGTCCAGTGTAATGGGACGCGGTACCGACGTAAATACTGGCGGAATGTCGTTCACGTCCTGCCAGGATACGTTTAGAATCATTATAAATAGTTATTGACAGCCCCCGTAATACTTAATAAACTAAAAGTAAGCGAAGAGACGGTAGATAATAGATATAGAACGAGCATTGCATTTATGATGCGCTCAATGCAAACCGGTTCCGTAAACTGATTCTATATGAGTTAATTCGTAAGATTATACAAACAAATAACTTTAGTTTTGATATTTCAATTACAGATTTCCATGCAGAATTGTAAATGCAAAAAAATATGATTGTCAGAGATAGATGCATTTTTCACAGACGTATGTACGTGATCAAAATCTTCTAAATTATTAATATAAAGTTTTTCATAACTACACTTCTTACGCGATGAATCAGTAATGAAGCTTTCTCTCTCTTTCTCTCTCTCTCTCTCTCTCTCTCTCTCTCTCTCTCTCTCTCTCTCTCTCTCTCTCTCTCTCTCTCTGCAGTTATGTGTCCTGTGAAAGTGATGCGCTACATGATACGCCGATGTGAACACGACACATCACAGTAAATCAATGACGGATAGTGAAAACTTAGTGAGACTCGGGTTTCACTTGTGAAAAATACCTGAACATTAACGACAACTCGAGTAGTGGAGCCAGGCAAATCGCTGGTGTTCTCCTCGGTGCCTACTATGAGAACGTGTTGACTCTGACTCTCGTAATCGAGACCGCGGATAGTTTTTATGACTCCGGTCTTCGGATCTATGCTGAAGAGTTCGGTATCCCCTTGCTTGATCATGTATGTAATTTGCTTCTTTGTGTCCGGATCATCGGCCTAGAAATGATCGCGTTAGCTTTAGAGTCGGGTAAGACCGCGCCAGGACGCGCCATCCTTTCCACCTCATCGATGGGACGGGAATCATCGACGACGCGCGAAATATCTCTGGAGGGTCTGAAAGTCGAGACTGGCGTCTCCATTATTCCGGTAAATTTTTAAAACTCCCCGCGGATGGATTCCTCGGTCGATATTTTGACGATACAATTACGCATCTCGTATTAGCTAATTTTATACTTTTCGATATACTAAACAAGGTGAAGCGAAGGCCCTTTTATCTCTACAAATAATCTCAAACTGGAATTTATGTCATGTCACACGACCTGACTTTCGATTCTCGTTAAGTCCAAGCCAATATGGATTAATGTCAATAAATATAAATTAATCGCATCTAATCGCTCTTACGTCGCGCTTTACACGTTTTCTAATCAGGGACACGCGCTATTATTGATTTGGCATGCGACTCACCGTGACTTGAATCACATTATAATCGGGCACGTTTTCCTTGACACGTGCCTCGTAACTGCTTTGGTGAAACACCGGAACCTCGTCCTCGACATCTACGACTTTCACTGTGACAGTCGCGGTTGCCAAGCGATAATCGGGGGCTCCATCCCTCGCAGTCACCACGAATTTATATTCCTACGCAATTTACAAAATACACAAATGTTGAAATAAAGTGCCAGAGAAGCGAAACGAGAAAAAGATTACCAGAGATTTCAAACTTACATTTTTAGTGCAATAGCAGAAATACTCAGCAGTATGTAGTGTTATAAATATAAATAGGTTTGACGATATGAATAATTAAAAGACTAAAGTCATTAAATTTTTATCGTATTTTATATATTATTATATTTTATATATTTTATTTTATATATTTTATTATATTTTATATATTATATAAAATTATGAACAAATTCTACTAACACGCATCGTATTTCCACGAATGAAATGTATATAGAAACTTCAAACGTGCACTTTGCGCGTTTTCTTTTGTCTCACTGTACATGACGACATACAATTGTAATTTAACCATAACAACATCCTCGCAATCCGAGAATAAACTTAAATCGTTCTCGAACTGCAATCACGCTTCGCAACTTTCGTAAAACGGAAGAGCATTCCCGGAAGATTCGAGATTGAGCTGGATAGCTGCGCTCATAATGAATCTTAATAAGCACTGCGTGTCATGTAATGTAGCCTTTTGCAAGTGCAAACGGAAGCAGAGACTCATTGACTTTTAGAATCTCTCTCTCCAGAGAATTCCAATATAGTTAAACATTTATAATTTCCTAGCTGGAATTATCTCGAAACGCGTGTTTTCCAAGATAAAAAGAAAGATAATTTCACAACAAAATATACTTATGGTTTTCAAGTTAATTTGATGTACAAGTACGATTTGAATTTTTATATGTCATCTTTACTAAAAGTCGAAAATATGTAATAAAAATTACTCACGTCGTTCTGCTCATAATCTAACACTATCTTCGTCAGGACATCACCGGTTTCTGGATCCACCGTAAAAGGATGTCATCGGGTGCAAAATAAGTGATCTCGGCGTTGATGCCTTCATCAGCATCCTCGGCATGTATGCGGCCTATCAATTTACGTGCCTCGCCCTCTTTGACGGAAAATTCATAAGGGAGACCCACGAATTCGGGATTCTTGTCATTGATATCGGTAACCATAATATTGACAGTCGCGGTGCTGAATAGGCCGCCTGTATCCTCGGCTTTGATCAACTGTATAAAGGAACAATATCGCAGCGTAAACATTCCGCTTTTTTATTTTTTTTATTTCGATATAAAATGCGACGCGAAAAAATTTCCTCTCATATTGATAAAAATGTTGAAAAATTAAATATAGAAGATGTGAACTACATAATGTTAAAAAAAATAAGTTTAAAAAAATAAATTAAAAAAGAAAGTTTTTATAAAGCTAAAGTTAAATGCACTAAAAGTCAACGTGCTGCTTTTTCGTTTAAGTAGCTCGTTTAAGTGGAGAAACGGAGATAGTAACCGATGTTTCTTATAGATTATATAAAAAGCAGCGTAAAGCGAAAAGTGCATTGGCTTGTAGCAGAGGATGTAGGAAGTTTGCGTCGCAATGTTCAAGAGTGGTTGACAATATTAGCTCACCAACTGATATCGAGTCAGGTCCTCCCTATCCAACTTCCTTATAACGGTAATAACGCCTGATTTGTCGCCGATCGCAAACTGACGCAAGTCATTCCCCGATACTATCGAGTACGACACCGGATCATTTTCTGGGTCGATGGCCTGCACAACGGTTCATTAATAAGGCTATTATCGATATAAATATTTAACGATCCGTTATTTTAGATACAATGCTTAATAAATAATTATAAATTCGAAAAATAAATTTCTTACATTCTTCAAAAAGGAAATGTAAATTTATGTATATAAATAAAGTGAAATTGATGTAAATGAAAGAAAGAACGCCAAAAGAAAGAACAAAACTCGATAAAAAGACAACAAAAAACATATCGAAAACAAATATATTGCTTCTGTCGAAATAGTTGAAAGCTTAAAATAAAACTCTGAGCAAGAGAGAAAAAAGAGATATTATCGACGATACTCACAGTGATAGTCGCAACCGTAGAATTGATGGAGGCCCCCTCGCTGACTTGCACTTCATACACTGGCTGCTGGAACACTGGGCTTCTGGTGTTGGGTCCAGGAATGACGTTCACCTCGACAATCGTCTGCGAATACCTGCCACCCTTGTCAGTGGCCTGCACGGTGATGCTGTATTGCTCGCCAGCGTTCAATTTCCTCACGGATTCGATAACTCCGCTCTTCGGATCTATCTTGAATTTGTGCAAACCATTGTTCGAAACATGGTAGATGCTGTACGTTATCTCGGCGTTCTCTCCTTCGTCGTTATCCGTGGCTTCCACCTGCGAGAAAATCAATTAATTTGTCGCCCCACCCTTTCGCAGCCCGTATCTTTAAAGAGATATGAAACATTGACAAATGATAATGCCTAATTTGATGATTAAAGGATTAGAGAGCTATCAGCAAATGTGGAAAAATTATTGTTATAATAATGTTTTTAATATTTTACAAGCAGTAGCTGTCAGTACTACATTAAAGAACGAGATGACCAAATCACCTTTGCCACTTGTTTCTTCGTTTCTCCAGCTTGAACGGTGATGGGTGGCATCATAGGGAGCAGAGGTGCATTATCGTTAACATCATTTAATGTCACAACAAACGATAAAGGCGACGACGCGGCCACACCCGTTTTCTCCCGGGCAACCACTTGAAAGCGGAAGCGGCCGGGACTCGGAGGATCCCGGTCCAGATTCTCTTCGTTGACTACGAGAATTCCGGACGGATCGATCGCAAAGAAGTTTGTAGTCAGCTCGAAGGTGTACGTAGGCTTCGGATCGTCCGGTCCCTGGACACGAATATTTTATCAGAAAATAAAGAAAGGACCGGAAACAAATATACTGGTCGATTGACGATAGTTGATCCGCCGGATCTTCGTCCGCTAATAATGGACAAATTTAAACGGTCCATTCGCATTTTAGTCACGCTTCGTTAAGCGAAAACCGATAGAATCTACGTCTCTACGGTTGAAGACTCACCAGATCAGCATCCGACACGGTAAGCACAATGGGATTACCGCTTTCATCGATGACCTTTGTCGCGATAGGAGCGTTTTCATCGACGAAACCTTCGATACTTGACGCCGTTATAACGGGTGGATTGCTGTCAACCGGCTTCACAGTGATTGTTAATTTCGCGGTAGCCGATCGTTTCGCTTCCGACACCTCGACCGCCTTAAAAAGAAGTAACAAAAGCGCAAACTTATTATGCAACGTACCCACATATTTTAAAAAGAGAACCGTATATAATTACATGTATTAAAAAAAATGTACACTGTCTTCTCATTAAACTCAAAGAGAAAGAATCATTATTTATAATTGTAAAACGTTTAGTATATTCTTCATTACTTTTATACAATATTGATAATTAAAATTATTTTTTAAACGTGACATAGGAAAATATAACAGCGATATTTACCTTAATAATAATATCAAACTTCTTCGTTACCGTCGTATCGACCGCCCTTATTTGTTTTACCGCTCCGGTATTAGGGTTGATCTCGAAAAAATCCCGATAATTCGGAGGATTTCCGCTGAGGAAGGAATAGTGAATGGGCGCGTTTATGCTGTCCATGTCAACCGCCTGGATTTTCTCAGGCGAGATATTGAGTATGCCTGATAATACTCCGCTCGATACCTAACGAGGAGAAAAAAAGCCTTTACAGAACCGGTTGAACGATTTATTGATATAACGCGAATTTGAGCGGCGAGATTATCCGTGGTTGATTAGGCGCGCACATTCGATTGCATTAAAATGTTCGGGTTTTACAGGAAAATTGGCAAATACATAGCCCGTTAAGATAATCCGCGCCATTAATATACATCCTCGAACCGGAAAGCCGGGGACTTTAGTTTATAATCGACCCGATTTACGTACCGACGCGGAATATTCCGGATTAATACAGGCACCATCTGAGAGCATGCAGCCTTGATAAATAAAGGAAGGGTCCTGATCGTCATCGTCCCGTATGTTGACCGTCAATGTGGTCGTAGACGTAAATCTCTCGGAAACGTTCCTCGCTCGATCCTGTAAGCAAACAATTCGCTATGTCAAGTGACAAATCATATTGATAAATCATATTAAAGTAGAGATGCAAATTGATATTTTAAACAGCAGCAAAGATTTTAGCTATATGAGATATGAAACAATAAACACATTCTCTATGCTATAAAGTTATATCTTATTTATATTATTCTAATTTATTAAATGTATATTGATAAGTTCTTATTTTATCAAAATCATAACTATAATGTATGCAGTTTTAACCAAAACTGTAATAACGATCATATTTTTGTCATAATATAATTGATTTATTATTTTAATATAAATTTAATTATAATAATAATCTGTCGAGTCTTTTAATGAGATTAGTTGCACATGCACTTTACTTATTAAATATCCTCCCTCTCTAATTCATATTGTATATTACATATTACTATTATTACAATATATTTCCCTCCAGATTCTAATAATAAAAAAAGTGTTATAAAATATTGATAAAAATATATTTGCCTATTTTTTGCAACTCATAAATTAGAACTTGGATGACATACAAAAATGGACTGCAATAATACGCCATTAATCTTGCGATTTTTGTTGCGTCACGATTATATTGACATTTTCAATAGTCGCTACACGCACGAAGAGGAATGAATATCCATTTTCTTCTTTTCGTTCTCAATATAGTTTGATCACACCAACTCTATCATCACTCTCGAAGAGAAGCTCCGTCCCTTTCTCTCCTCGTCTTCTATTCTCTGACCTTATTTACGCAATAACGGGTCCGGACTACTTACGAGGTGCTCTAAATAAAGATCACCGTTACTTAACTTTCCCTATACAAGTAAGATTGCAAGGCCAAAAATCTTCCAAGAGTGCCGCATAAAATCCAAATCTTAGAAAGTGCGCATGTTGTATTAGAATATATAAATTACAAACTCTGCAATTAGTTGAAAAATGTGCGCATTACTTTTTGCGGCATGCAAAGTATCCCATAAATTTCGTCTTTTAATAAAACTGCGCATTACTCGCTGAGACCTGCTAAAGCATGCTATGAGAGAGAGAGAGAGAGAGAGAGAGAGAGAAATATTCTAGTAGATTCTTCCTATCTCGAAATTGTTCTGAATATTCATATACGAAGGAGTGAAAGATTTTAGCGCTGTCAATTTCGCATTACGTCTTTCAGTTAACGTTTGACACGATTTGAAGACTTAATGTGAAATTTCTATACGAAATGTCAAAAGCGACAACATTGACTTTATATACATAATATGAATGATTGTGCGATGTCCGTGCATCAGTGCGTAACGTTATGCCCTCGGAGCAGCGTCCGAGAGAGCAGAAGTCAGTCATTTGTTCCACATAATATTCAAATGAGCCACACCTGCTGCAGCACAGAGAGCTAGGGAGCGCGGCGACTTAATCGAGAGGGAGAGATCGATCGATCGCGTCCTCGACTCGGAGAGATTCGCCGCGATTATGGGAGACCGTGCCCGATTTATCTCGTAGCCAGGGAAGCCAAAAAGAGCAAGAGAGAGAGAGAAAGAGAGAGAGAGAGGAAGAGACTCGAGCAGGAAATAACCATTACCCTTGACCACGGTACAACCGAGGCCGCATCTCGTATGCCAATAGTAATAATAGGCGTTGGTGCATCTCCATTTGGCCTTTTTTTCCATTTCGTCTCGCTTACGGTCGCCCGCCGTCAGCGATCGTTTAATGACATCGTGTTGCCGAGACGCGACGCAGCCTCCAGATTCAATCGCACTTTTTCTCCCGACAACGACGACGCGAAATTGCGCGTCGATCTATGATCGGTCGCGCAATTTCGAACATGCACGAAATTGCAGCAACAGCAGCGACGAACGGCGGCTGCGTCTCTCTCTCTCTCTGGTACAGAGATGGATATGCGTCTCGGACATAAGCATAGAGAACGCGGATAATGTACCGTCGTATAGTTCGTCTCGGAGTCTATTACAGGTGGGATGCAGATCCGGTCTGTGCGGTCCCGGATAATGTCTCGTGCATCGACTACGGCTGTTGCTTCGAATTAGATTTTAGCGGAGACCGTCACAACAATATAATATATGTTTCTAGCGAGAAAATATCCTCGAGTGAAATAAAATCGGTAAGCGAGAAAAATCATTTTTTTTTCTTTCAAGGCACATTTAGAATTGTCGAGTCAAATTTTATTGTAGTTGCGTATATCGCGATTTGATTATATTCTGTTTCCGCTTGTTTCGACAGGATATAGTCAAAACTAAAATAGAATTGCGAGCCTGTATATAATAGCAGAGTCGGAGTAACGGTGTAATAACTTAATAGAATCGATTCTGAGAAGGAGTTGCTTAAAGTGACGGCTAACTGATCGCTTACAAGAAGCTATGACCACAGGCGGCTCTAAAATTAACGAGATTCCAGGATGGAAAAGGTCTATTGTGCCCTGGCGCGTGAAGCCTTTTACACATGCAAGATTCTCGCGAGAGACCTTTCGCAAAAAAATGGATACTTGTTTTCTAGTCTAGCCTAAGGAGGATATTTATTCAGCGAGGTCCTTGCACTGGCAAGATTTAAGTGTTCGTTCTCAATTCGTCCTACGGCGGAGTCGCTTCCTGCTCGAGCTCAGACAGAGAAAGAGAGATGCTGAATGTAAAATCCCAAAAATACAATCTAAACCATAAATCAAACAATATTATAAAATCGAGAGAAATGTCAACGTTAAAGTTGTCGCGGTGCGTTATTGTAAGGTTCGAGCGCGATGAAAGTAAAAATAGAGACTTCGAATCAGAGTTGACTTTCGGCTGTCCAAACGATTCACTCACCGTTGACAAATCGCCGACAATGCTGTCGCCGACACTCGGACCGACGTGTATTAAAGCGACGACCAGGAACGCTTTTATCGGACCGAGAAGCTCCATTGTCGGACCTTACGATGAGTCACGTTCCGTCGATGGTGCGTCTCGAATCCGATCCACGTTCTCGCGTCCTCATTTAGAGGGGACACGTCGTCGAAAATTAATCGATTAAAATCCGTCCGACAGTTGGCGGAGGAGGACTTTCGGCGCGATTACTTCACGCGGTCCGCTTCTCTCCGAGGAATCCCAAGGATTAGCGCATAATAAAGTGCGGTAAGGCGTGTCCCAATTTGTCGTCCCACATACAACCGGCAATTCCTTCGCCGATCGCTTCGAGTCGCGCATGCACGGATCCTTTAGCCGTTAACTGCGCTCGTTAAGTTACGACATTCCTTAGGGGGCCTATATAAATTATGCGTTCTTTAATCGGCGCGCGGATGACATACCTTCTCAATTCGTTCCTTTAGACCGACTTGAATTTATATTAAGCGTTCGTCGAAAGGTTGGCGATTCAACCATTTCTCAGCGATACGTTGTTGACCAATTTTTTATCCAGGTGCATTCAAAAAATGACACTGTAAGTTTCAAACATCACACATTTTCGCATAAGTTTTCCCACAGCAATTTTCCTTCAGGTAACGGCAACATTTTCATGCTACACGTTTTCTATTAATCTCTGTGTTATTTTAATGCAGTTTACATTACTAAAAGTACAAACAATCGCGCGACGATAGAAGAATTCCTCAAAAGAGGAATGTAAATAAATCCGACGCTTCGCGCAAGAGTGCTTGATCAGCTGGTACCTGACTGTAACTTTCGACCCGGTAACGTCGACGTCATCGCGCTCGGCGAGTAAAGAGCCTCTTTTACGTAACGCCAGATTATTTGCATCGGTTATCGGAAATTCAGCGACGCGAAGAATATTTGCGTCACGAGTCACGAGATCTTCTCGGCGATCGGCCGCGAAATCGGGCGCCTTCGGCGATTTTCTGATCGTGCGATTTACATACTCGCGTTTTCCAGTCCTGCGGAATAAGATCGCGCGAGACCGAACCCCGCCTGTGTGAAATTTTACGGGGAATCTTCCATCTCGATGTCTTATTGCGAACCGAGTCAGACCGATATCCGTCCAATTTATTCCGCGCCGCTGCTGAAAGCGGAAGCGGAGCAATCTGTAATCAACGTTTCGCGACGCGCGCTTCCACAGCCGCGAAGGATTACGAGATGTTCCGGAAGTTGTTTGCTTCCTTTCGTGCCGTTTATTACGTTCATTCGGAGCGGTATATATACATAATAGATATTTATTTCGCCGCCACTAATCTTCAATTTTCCTCAACGCATTTATTTTAATCCGATTTTCCAATATATAAGACGGAGAGGCACCTTTATTACGATAAAGTATAAATACCCGAGTGATGAAATTGAAATATTGATATTTCTTTATAGCGGGCTCGCGTTCCTTCTATACCTCGGATCTACCTCGCCTGTCCTGGATTCGTTCGAGGACTTTTCCACCCACGTCGAGTGCCAACGCACTCGGTATACCCTGAAGAAGCGGCTCGCGGCCGCGTTTTAATACCGTTCGTTTGACAAACGTCCGCGTATTTCTCTTCCTAACGCTCGTCATTAATCTCCCGACATGGACGAAAGAATTCGCGCACGAGCAAACCGTTATTGTGCGTATGTATGATGACGCCAGTTACGTGTTACTGTGCGCGAGAGAACGTTTTATTCTTTCAACGCGTTCATAGAACTCGAAGCGCCATCAAAGAAGTCTCTTCATGGCGTAATAATAACCAACCGCAGCGATAATACTTTGCTTGCATTGCGCATTTTATTTTAATTAAATGTATTGTACGATTTATTATTTTATTCTAATTACGATACTTCGATAATATATCCCGATTTATTTTTTTATTCTAATTACGATACTTCGATTATATATTCCGTGAAGAATTAAAAGAAAAACTCATTCGCAATATATGACGTATTATTTGACAGCTCGATTTATATTTCCTTGTCGAACGATATTTATGATTAATTATACGATACTCGAAAGAAGTAATTTTCACACTCTGACACTGTGATTGAAATTCACAAATCGGATGCACCATTGACACACTCGCTATCCTCGCGTTCGATTGATCGATACTGCATCCCATCTTCCGCGCTGAT